CGCCATGCCCACGTCCACCATTATCGGGTCACAACCATCTGACAGCTGAAGGCAAAGTCAGACCGGACCGTACATTATTAAGATTAAGCGCTCTGTCGAAGCTCATTACCACCGGCATCGTCCTGCTCTGCTCATGCAACCGGAACCTTCCATTTGCATACGCCTGGGTGCACGCCAAAGTTCACAATGGTTGTTCTAGGCGGCAGTGAGGTCCTTCAGCACGCCCCGAAATAGCAACACTAGCTCATTCAATGCTTCACAGCTGCAGCTGCCCAACTATCCTGGCGGATCCACAGGTCTGTTGAGGTGTGCAGCTGTTCGGCAGCTGTTTAAACAGACAAAATCTCAGACTGGCTACAATGGCGTTCGAGCAACTCATGTGTCGCGACAACTCAAAAGTCTTGCAGAGGAGCCTCACATCACGAGCCTCATCACCAGAACGATATAACGCCTCCATAAACGCCACACCGACAAAGTTGTAATATGGAGACCCGGGCACAGAGAAAAAGTAAGGCACTGTGCCCGTTGCGCATGACGGACCAAGTCCGTTTTCCGCAACGAGCTTCCTGGATCTGCACAACTGACGAAGGCCAACACAGTGTTGATGGAATGTGTAGGACTGTCTCTAAGTAGATCAGTGTCAGGTTTCCGGTTGTCTTCAACAAGGTCCACTTTTACCCCTGAGCGTTGGCGTTGGTAGCGCAGCTTTGCATGGGTCTTACCGCTAACCGGGCCTGTCCCTGTAGAGCCAGCAGGGGTTTGCTCAAGAAAGTCGTCTTCTATTGGATGATTCTACCTGAGCTTGACTGGAATGGGGATAGCCAAAGATCGCCGATGGAATGCCTTGTCGGGTTAGCTGGGGAGGGGGGGAAGGCCATTCTCAGCACCTCGGGGCGAAGGCAAAGGAGGCAGGCCAGATATTGTGATACGGAGGGGTGGTGTTCAAGTCCTCACTGAGGTTTCCCCTGTCTTTTACCCCTTCCACGCCTCTCAACTCCTCAATCCAAGCCCACCTCAATCAGCATCCGCGGTGCTTCTTTCATCTGATCTTTTCTCTTCCCGCTTTTGGCTCTCGTTTTCAGTCCTAGTCCCGGTCCGCTCCCAGCCCCATTTAACAACTGTCAGACTAGTGCCCTCATGGACCACGGCACCCTGGGGAAGAGACGGGATACAGCGGTCGGAACTTTCAAACATGACTGCCGCCGCATAAAGGGGAAGAGGATGAACAGGCAGACGGCAGGAGACACTCACGGTGTTCCGTGCGCCATTTGGTGGGAGATCGTCGTTTTGTAGCCCACTGGCTTCGAATCCAAACAATTCAAACAGCTCTGCTACTGACTCAGCCACATGGCCCAACGACGGTATTCCCAGAGGGATACACCATACTTACTAGTAGCGGCATCCACCACCGTCTGCGTGACCTACCCACCCCGGCCCGTCGTGATTGAAATTCGTGAGACCGACTCTAGGACGACTCTTCAAAGAAGCTGCCCAGGGTCCGTTGCCAGCATCACCAGACCAGGACCCCCATCGCTTGTCTATTGAATTGTTCCAGAAGAATGGTCGAACAATTCGAACGTGAAGTCCCTGGCCGCCTCCCCTGGCGCGCCCCTCCCCCTATCTCAGGCCCTGCTAGACAAGAGCTCGCTTGCTAGGAGCCCTTGAACGAGCCGGCTCTTGTAGCTGGACCCTTCATGGATTAATACGCAAGATTGCCGCAAGAGGTTGACGAGACGGATGATAGGCGAGATGTGCACTCGCTCCGGTATCATCAATCGACCATGGCACAACTGTCCGCCACACTATACGTTGATGTGGAGATCGGCCACTGACACAGCCGAACCTGTGGCTTTGCAGGGTATGCCTATCAGATTTATTCCTACCATTTCGCCACCTCGTCTGGCGCAAATGGCAAATACACAGAGGCTCAAACAGCAAGACTATGGCTCCTTTTTTTCCCCTCCTTCCGGCTGGCATCAAGGACAAATGGCTGTTCTGGTGGCAGCGCTGCTACAGTGATTTGTTTCTTTGTTTTCTGGACCAAGCACAAAATCTGAAATAGTTCAGGACAGAGACAGCGTAGGTATGAATTAGGCAGGCATCAACCGTCGATTGAGAGACTATGAAAACACAGCGCTACGTTTGTCATGTAGTTATGACATCGGATAGGCTGACTGCATAACCATGAATCCAGACTGGGGCCAATGGGCACGCCCCTCGAAGAGGCATGAATGATCACCATGGTCCTCTGACGACAGATCAACCGACGCGTTTGGACGCGTTTACTGTGTTTTGCTCCCCACAGAACAACATGACATGACAATTTAGGAGAAACGTGACTGTCAACAAGCTCAAGTCCCCGAGTTGCTTGTAGTTAGGGGTGGCCACGAGCGCACCAATTAGTAATACCAAAAAAAAAAAAACCCCCCGATGAAGAATTCAATCATCAGAATCGGTCCCCAGGCATTGCGTGAGAGGTCAGTGTGCTCTTCAACTGGGATCGCTCGATCGTTAAGCCGGAGAAAGCCAGCGAACTTCAATGCGCAATCTACAGACAATCGATATGGCCGCTTCGTCAAGCATGGGATCAACCGGCTTAACAGTTCGAACAGGGCATCCAAAACTACAGTGACACCGGGCCAAGTATTCTCAATTGAGTATACTGAAACTGGCCAGGTCTTCGCTTCTTGGACAAGCATTGCAGGCATCACGGAGAAATTTCCGAGCGAGCCAAGTCCCCCCACCGCCAAAGGAGAATTCAAAAAGGAAAGAGCACCTGTCATGCGTCGATTGCGTCGTCGTTGCTCCGCCGCATTGTTTTTCTGATCCGCAACACAACCCTTTCCAAAAGACGTGTGCTCGGGCCTCTGCATGATGGAAAGAGGGAACCCCATCGGCATTGGCGGCTGTGGGCCTATGGGGGAGAGGCTATGCCGCAGTGGTCCCTGCCTGTCGTCTGTCTGCGACGTCGTGCAGCATCCCATCCGTACGAGATCGCACAAGGGCTTACCTGAGATCGGCGCTAGCGTTCGTCTGATGTCCCCGGGCGTCTCTGAGACGGGGCCCCTGGCCGGTCTCCCGATGGCACGTCGACCGGGACGGAGCTTGCCCGCCGAGAGCCTTTCGGACCAGTTTTTCCATCCGGGCTGACCCAGCCTGAAAGTTCAAACCATCCGAACCGGTGTCTGTCAATGACTCGTTGCGGTCCTTGTTATGGACAGCCGCAGAGCAGCCCAAGATATGATGGCCACTGGCCCCAACGGTAAGTAAGGTTGCATGATGCTCCTGGCTTCCCGATATTGGAGTCCTGTCGTCCAGACTCTTTTGTATATATGGTGGACCACGCTCGATATTGCATGCCATCGGAACGGTTGTTGCCTTGGCACGTTGCCTTCTTGACCGTGACAGCACTTTTGGGTCTGCGCATGGGCCTAGGGAGCAGGAAGGTGCAGCGCTAGTTCATATCACATTGAGCCTTATAGTACGGGCCCCACCAGGCGTGTCGAGATGATCGGTACCTGCCGAGATCGAGGTCGGCGCACGGCAGCCTAAGTATGCTGAGTAGGAAGTGCTGCCTTGGGTGCGAAAGGTTGTGTTGATCAGCCGGGAGACGAGCGGAATGGGGGGGTTCATGGAAACCCTTGCATCCGCCTGCAAGATGGGCGAAATCCTGACAATTGAGAAGAGGCGGCGATGACACCTTTTCATTTCTTGGGAGCTCGCAAAATCTTGCCGGAGGAAGTAAAGATGTAATTGCCATTTCCGTCGCTCAAAATATGTTTGAAGACTTGGATCCACATGCACCGTGGCCCTCAGACGTGAAGGCTCGTTGTTGTATTGTGAGCTCGACATAACGCTTCTGTGTTTGCTAAGGATGTGCCGAACGAGAAGACAGGAGGCATATCAGCCTCATACTGCGGTTCTCTTCTACGGTTTTGTTCTTGGAGAGTGAAGTTCCAAACCAGACCTTGGCTATTATTCCGTGACGTTCGAGTTACGACGGCTTTGGTGTAAATAATAGACGGCTATGAACTACGGTGACGAATTGATCTCATCGTGCGGTTGTAAATATGTCTTTTAATTTGACCGGTTCAGCGTCTTGGGGATAGGTTGCCCCGTTTTAGGACGATGATATCTCTGCAACGTTGCGTCACCCGTGTGTTACTCCTTCTGTCTGTCCTGAAAGGAGAGGTTGATGGCTAGAGGACAACATACTGCATAGTATCGACGACGATATCCCGGGGCACATTATTATTAGAATGTATGCTGTAGTTTTCTCATATAGTTCCTGGCGTCTCGCTTATTCAAGTCGTTGCTCGATGTGGTGTTGCGTGACAAGCATATGGTGCTTTTGGTGGCCTCAGGGACTTGTATGTTTGAATTATACTGTAGGTCATTTGTAGAACACCCCAGGAAATGAGACGAGTCTTTTGAGTGTCCAAGAGACCTAGTTATGAATACGATGTTGTGTGAGGCCCAGGTATTTTGCGAACTGGTCGTGTAGTTAATGCCATGGAGACCGTTTTTAAATATTAATGATTTCGTGTCATTTTTAATAATCTTACCAAATAATAATCTTACAAAAATGTGGTAAAAACACGGTTAAACTAATGTGAGAATTTCAAGATCTACCCACTACCACAAGATATAATGAAACGCTCGACGAAACTCGAGGCTGGTGGATTCTGTTGGCTGGATATAAATCATTTCACTAAATGGATTTTCAGAGTTGCTGGATGTCAATTCCTAACTGTGAGTCTCGACTGGCATCAAAAACGCTGCATAAGAAAATTTTCCGACTGGCACTATACTTTTTACCCACGCATCTTAAACGTTTCCGGTAATCATCGTTTTAGTAACTCGTTCATACAGCCCATAGGAACATTTTGCAGTTTACATCCCGCCGTGGCCAAAAGATGTTCCCGCCCTCCCGGCAGCCGACCTTGTACAGACGAAGAGGCCGAAAGAAAGCCCCCCGGCATCACCTCGAAACAAAGGCTTTACAATTCCTTCATCACCTCGCCAACAGCCTTCTTCGCCATCTTCTTCCTCTGCTCCTCAGGCAGACCGGCACTCAAATCCCTCACAGCCTGCAGCTTGCGCATCATCCTCTCCAGCTTCTCAATCTCCTCCCCGTCAAGCCCCTCTTCATCCCCGGCCTTGCCGTTTTGGCCCGCCGAGCTCTCGCCGTTCTTCTTCGCGCCGTCTTTCTCGTCACCATCGGCATCGGCATCGGCATCCTGCTGCTCCTGCTCCTGCTCCTGCTCGAGGTTCCAAATAGCCTTCTTCAGACCCTCGAAATCAGAACGGTCAAAGCCGAAGTTGAGGCTCTCCGGGTCGAAGTCAAACTCGTCGTCGTCATCCCCTGCGGCAAGCGGCCGAGGTTTGCGCGGCAGGCCCGACTCCTCCAGGTCGTCCAGGTCCGAGTCGACGTCCGGCCCGGCGTCGCCAGCCCAGTCGTTGGATTCCAGAGCCTCGAGAACTCTCGGGATGCCCATTTTCTCTGTATCGTTTGGTTAGCATACTCTACCCCCTTCCGCAGTGATAATTTAAGCGAGGGGCCAGCCGGAAAAAAAGCGGTCGAGACGGCGAGATATTTAGGGAACAACGAACCTCCAAACTCGTTCCGGCCTTCATCTTTCTTGCCCCCGCGCACCTGCACGAATTCCAGCCCCCATTCCGCGCAGAGCTCCTCCCACTCCTCGGAGTCTCCCTCGCCGACGCCGACGCCCAGCCCGACGCCGTCCCACGCCCAGCCGCCTAGCCCTTCACGGACGACCTTGCCGACCTCTTTGATGAGAACACGGGTCTCTTCCGCGGACGGGGCCACTGCCGCTGCCGCCGCCGCTGCTGTCGTCGACGGCGAATCCGCGGGGGTGGTAGCGCTAGGAGGCGGAGCTGTTGCCGATGTGGCAGGCGGCAAGGCGAAGACGACGGCCAGACCGCCGAGCACGGAGAGGACCTCCTTTGCCTCGGGGGACAGAAACGACGCGGACCATTCGGTCGGCGAAGAGATGAGGTCCAGCCAGATGGGCACCTGGGCGGTGTAGTAGCTCGTCTTCAGGTCCAGGAGGTGCGTCGTGCCGGCGAGCGAGGTCGAGGCCGGCTCTGGGACGTTTCCCGTCAATTCTGTTCCGTCTCGGCTGTCAGTCAACGCTTCCCTCACAAGACACCGAATATCCATTTCCTATCTATTACTTCTTAATGTTTGTGAGCTCATCTCCTTTCTCACTCAATCGCTCGCTCGCTCACTCACTCGAGCAGTAATGGCGGGGCACCACCGAGCGATAAGATAAGCATTTTCATCAGAGACAAAATTGATGAGGAGGGGGGGGGGGATACAAACCTTTGATGACTCTGCTCAGATCCTGAGTCGACTCGGTCAGCGAGACCGCCAGCACTCTGCGCGGATTTGAGACTTCCATAATGGTTTGTTCTTTTTGGTCCTTTTCTCCCGTTTGCTTCCCCCTTTTTTGGGATGTGAAAAGAACCGACGTTTGTCCGTGTTTATCCAAATGTGACAAACGAACGACGTTCGACGGGGGGGTGGGTTTTGATGGCCTGGAGTCTGGGCCCGCCCGAGCTATCGGAACGGGGGGGTTTGGTGGTGGTGGTGGTGGTGGTGGGGATGTTCCAGATTACCTAAACGCTTCCGCCGCCCCGAGCTAACTTTGGCCGCACCGAGCGGATACAGCGGCAGCTAGTTTAGATTGAATCAAAGGGCCGGGAGCTGCGGCATCACTTCCTGCGCAGTTTTCTCACCTTATCAACATCCGACAGATGTAGTTGCAAGACGAGTTTTTATACTGAATTCAGAAGAGATTCAATGGTATTGGATAGAGTTGAGGTGTGTGTAAGACTTCGCTCTGCTCTGCTAACAACAACTATTTTTCGGCCTCGCTACCCATGCAAAACGGGGTATTCTCAAAAGAAAGAGAGATCATGATAACGTGCAGTCCGGGAATCGTCGTCAGATAAAAGTACGCAGATAAGAAGAAGTCACAAAAAAAAGAAACGCCCTTCAGAACCACCCACCCATAAACACGAAAGAAAAGCATTAGCAACGAAGAAACACAGGCTCATCCAAATCATTCCGAACCAAGTCGCAAAAATGCAATTACCGTCAACACTAAAGGAAAAAGCGTGTAAGAACGCAGGGAACATTCTTTAGCAGTCGCCGCCCCAGCCATAGTGGCGGTTGACGACATTCATGGCGCTGACGCCGGCCCTCACGAGTCCCCTCGTCGTCTCCCCGTCGATGCCCGCGAGAACATCCTCGAAGCTCGTGTCCTGTCTGCCCTCGGCGTCTCTCAGGTCCCGCTGGTCCATCTCGCCCTGTCGCCTCTCCAGCACGGCGCGGTGGATGGCCCTCGCCCACATGTTGTACCACTGATCCTCGGACACAGTCACGTACTCCCTGCCGACGACGCGTCCCGTCTGGGGGTCCCGCTTCCTGCGAGAGAATGGCCACTCGGCTTCGACGACCTCGAAGCGCTTGGTGCGGAAGAAAAGGTACGGCCAGGCGAACAGCCAGAGGAAAGTCAAGTAGAACAGCCAACGCACCCAAGACGTGAAACGCCATCGGTTCACACGGCAGGTGTTATAGACTGCGACTGTTGCGTCGTGGACTGGGAAGCTCACGTCGATGCGGCCGCGGTAGTGGGTCGAGCGAACAAGATCCTCCAGTCGGCCCTTCAGCTTCTCGTCCTCGTCGAAGCCCGTCACCGTCCTCGAGAGTGTAAATGTCTTGAGGCCGGCGTGCGAGGCGCAGTAACGGTGGCACCATTCACGCAGCGTCGGCGGCTTGCTGCCCTCGATCACGCCGCCGGCCGATGACCCGCCGAAACCCGGGGCACGGGTGGGGAAAACGGTACCGCGACGGACCTTTTGGAAGTTGTCTGCGGTACGCAGCTCGCGCCAGGATTGGCGGGCCTTGATATCCCGGTACAAGAAGGGGGTGAGGTCGAGACGGATGTCAAAGTCAACGACGGTCTTATTCTCCGTCTTGTCGTCGCGCTTGCGCACCCTTTCGGAGTGTGTGCCGCGGACGCGGACGTAGGGCCGGGGAGGCAGTTCAGCGAGGGAGAGGATATGGGATTCGAGATAGGCCGGGTCGGTGTCTAGCCTCCGCGACATGTGGATCTCATAACCTATCTCGGCTTCCCTGTAAAAGAGGTTCGGAGAAGAACCGGATTCGTCTGCGAGGAGGGAGGAAGAAGGGTTGACGGCCTGGGCGTTAGGGTCGTCGGAGTAGGATGGCGGGAGGTCGAGAGCTGCCGCGGAGGAGGTGGCGGCAGCATCGTCGAAGAAGGGGTCGTTTGTATGGAGTGAGTAGGCATCGGAGGGCTGATCGAGGCGAAGAGCCGGGGGGTTGGCAGAGGACGACTTGTCGTCTCCGACAGTCGGCTTGGAGGGTGGCAGCTCCGGGGAGAAGGCACCTGGCATCGACATTTTGAGATGTTGATGTTGGCGGGCGAAGTGCGGAGAGAGAAATGGGTAAAGTGGAGGAGTTTGTGGTGTAGGGAATTAAGGACGGCGGGGATTATTCGTCCTGGCGGTGGCGGAGACTCGATCCGAGAGGATGGAGCATATAGCTATAGCAGCCAAGAAAGAAAAACAACAGAAAAAAAAAAAAACGAGGGACGATGTTGTAGGTAGAGGGAGAGGAGAGAGAGAGAGAGAGAGGTAGTAGGTAGGAGGGATGGGAGAAGGGATGAAGATGAGGTGACGACGACAACAACGGCGCAGGCATGAAGGAAATGTCTCCTCTGATAATAGTGTGTTATTCCATTTCTGCCTTTATTTCTCTCCCCCCGTTGGCCTGGGGGGGTGGCGGCCAAGGTTCCAGGCTCCGGAATCTGCATCCACCAAAAAGTCTTGGGTCCTGGGCCACCAACAGCAACAAAACAGTCGACGAATGCAGCCCCAAGCGGAACGCTCCAGTGGTTGTGGGCTGCCTAACTGGCTGAATGCCCTGCCTGCCCCGACAAAAAGTCTGCCACAACAGGCAGCCTCGCCCAGCGGCGCAGCAGCCACCGAAGGCGTTGTCTCCCTCTCCTCTTCCTCTACTGGTGGTAGCGTGCCCATTAGTGGTGTAAGGTAAGGTAAGGTACCACCACACCTTTAGGGGACTCTGCAGCAGCAGTAGACCGCCGTCGTCCGAAGAGGAGTAAAAGAAAAATAAGAAAAGAAGGGCTCTCCTCCCCTCCCACAAGGGAATGCCAGACTAGCAAATAGCGACGACGGGGCGTCAGCCACAATCCCCATACCCAGCACCCGCTACCGCAGTTCGACACCAGTCCGTCCACTCAGGCGTCAAGATGGCGGCCCATTGTGCATTGTCACTGGCCTTTGCACACCCTTCCGGGCCCAACTCCACCGTCTTCTCACAGCCACTCGTTGCAGGATACCCGTCCCACTGTTGAGACGCCGCCCGTGCCACTTGCTGGTGCTGTTCAATGCGACGAACCTGGCATCCCACGTATCACACATCAGACCGTCTTTTTCGAGAGTGGCTGCATACGTACCACGTAGTGGTAGAAAAGTCGGGTAAAGACGACTGGTGTTTTCCCGGTACCGGTTACAGAGGTTTCGACGCATGGTTTTCTTCCAAAGCTGAGGTTTTCCGTCCACTTTTTCTCTACTTTTATCTAAGGAGATTCATCGGCCGGTCCGATAACGAAGCCAAGTTTCCTTTGCGAACAGGGTGAAGTTTCGGCCAGCCGCCAAGTTCCTCGCGACAGCTGACGTTGAACTTTTTGTTTTTTTCCCCTGCTATTGACCACTGCCACTGTTGACTTGAACTGGAGGTCAAAATATTGCATAAAACACCATTGTGGTTCGAGTGGATTATAAGCTCTGGTTGTCGAAGCCACTGACGTGACGAGTCGAGCTACTGTGACTATCAAGCTCCTCGAGGTTCGTGGATTCTCTGACTTGGACCACACTACACCCTTGCCATGAAGAATGACGAAATATTTTGGAGACCTAACCTGAAGAGTTACCTTGTGATCTTGCAAGAAGCTTTACGCGGTGACTGTATACCCATTTCTGATATATCGAAAGTTAAACTCTGCTCGTGCTCGTAGACATAACATCACAGCCCTTGTGGTCTGAAAGAAGCACTTATATTCTCGCCAACTAGAGACAGCCTCAATCATTTGTACCCTAGAAATCTTCGGCATCTTGTCCTGTTGGGATCCAGATATACATTTTGAACTCAAGGCCATTAACACGTGATCAACTATTCTTTGACTCTTCCTCCTTACACACTGAATCCGGTAGTATATAGATAGACCAGTAACGAGGTAACAAAACCAATCCCTCCTTGTCGAAAATATGGTCTCCTCACCAATGTTTATCGAATGCGCTTTCTGCTCGGTTTTACTTATTTACCAGCAACACCCCTTTCGGAGAGAAAATTGCAGTGAAGTAAATGAAGGGCGATTCGGCCGCCAAACAATATGATTGGCTGGAGGAAATTCACTGCGTTTTTAACCTCACTAGGAGGATGAGTAGGCATAAGCCCAAGCTGATGGGCTGATTGCGCCTAATCCAGGGACGCTGCTCACGACGTCAAAAAGGTATGTGGACCAATCAACAAATGCGTGTTCGTTGAACATGCATTCAAATCTGATTGCCCAGGTATCGTTCATCACCATGAACGCCGCTCTCACTTACATACACCTGTATGCTTCATTTAATGACCTACTCTATATGAACAACGGCCAATCGCGGTCATACGTGTCCCGCCCGCCCTGCGTTTGGCCCATATAATGTCTTCGGTGATGCTTCTGGTTGACGCAATGATAAAGGCCAGGTCAGTACTTGCGAGTAATGAACGTATACAGATGGACCAGTTATAACCAGAAGTTGGTACCTACAAGTAACCCCTGCGCAAAGATACTGGCTTGGCCGATCGAGGATCACCATAGCCCCTTGCAGGAGTACATCAAATCCTGAAGAATGCTCATGTATAATTCTGTTTATTTCGTACCCGAGTCCCTCCTGGCTTGATCGACGCTATCACGGCAAAATCGAACACTGACCAGAGATCCCCAAACAGCCAAAGAATCAAGTCGAGAATGAATTAACAAAGAAAATATTTTCAGTATCTACTAAATCTGATAACTACCTTTACCCTATTAAAACATTTACGCTGGCGGTATCTGAGAGACAACAGCCCGGCCCAACGCTAAGCGATAATACACAAGGCCTCCAGGTCAGGCCCCTAACCTCCGCCCGCCTTCTTGGCCTCTTCGTCGGCCTTTGCCTTCTCCTCTGCTTTTCTTTTCGCTTCCTCATCGTCCTTCTTCTTCGCTTCTTCCTCCGTCGCCTTCTTCTTGGCCTCCTCTTCAGCCTTCCTCTTTGCCTCCTCGGCCTTTTGCTTAGCCTCCTCCTCCACCTGCTTTGCCTTCTTGGCATCCTCCTCTGCTCTCTTCCTAGCTTCGGCCTCGGCCTCGGCCTTCTTGGCCTCTGCGTCAGCCTTTTGCTTAGCTTCCTCATCGGCCTTGCGCTTCGCCGCTTCCGTAGCCTTCTGAGCTTCGTCTTCGACAGCTCTGGCCTGGCTGTCGTCCTTGCTGACCTCCTCCTCGTCGTCAATATCGACTAGCCTTCCAGAGTCCCACTTCTTCTTGGCAGCCTTGAGCAGGGCAGTGTACTCTCCACTCATATCGCACATGCTCCGGAAGCTGCCGTTTTCCTTGCGAATCAGCTCGTACGGGTGGCCGTACTCGATGAGAGAGCCCTTATCCAAAACGAGCACCTTGTCGTAGTCCACAATCGTCTGCAGACGGTGAGCAATGGTGATGATGGTGCTCGTAAGCTCGCGGATAGTCTCTTGGATTTTGGTGTCGGTGGCGTAGTCGATGGATGCCGTTGCCTCGTCCATGACCAGCACGTTCGGACGCTTCAGAAGTGCTCGTGCAAGGCAGAGCAGCTGACGCTGGCCCTGCGACAAGTTGGAGCCAGACTCCGAGACGGTCGAAGAGAGGTTGAGGAAGACGTTTCTGTTGGTCGGCGCGATCGAGGAGGCAGGGCTCGAGTTGGCCTCGCCCTGGATAAGTGCGAGGTTAGGCGTGGCTGGTAGCATCGATGAGGCGGATGGGGTCGCCGGTCTAGTTGTCGACTCGTCTGGCCCGATAAGCTGAACCTTGCGGAGTGCCTCAAAGATCTGCTCATCCGTGTACATATCGAAGGGGTCCAAATTGGAGCGGATAGTGCCCATGAAGAGCGTGGGATCCTGGGGTACGATAGTGATAGCCTCTCTCAAATCCCGAAGTCCAATCAAGCCAATGTCAATGTCGTCAATCAGGATCTTGCCCTCGTCCGCCTCCAAAGCTCGGAAAATAGCCAACGCCAATGAACTCTTGCCCGCTCCCGTCCGTCCAACAATACCAACCTTCTCCTTCGGGTTGATCTTGAAGCTGAGGTTTCGCAGAACGGGCTCCAGGTCCTGGCGGTAACGAGTGGAGTAGTTGATGAACTCCACAGAGCCCTGGCTGGGCCAGTTCTGAGGAGGGCGATTCTTCTCAACGATAGGCTCGGCTTCCTGTTCGACATCCAAATACTCCTTGATACGCTCCACAGAGTTCATGTTCTGCTCGTTAATGGCATAGAGACGAATGAGCCACAGAACGTTGTCAGTGAAACCAATAGCGTAACTCAGGGAGATACCGGCAAGACCAGGTTCGATCGTGCCGAGGCTGACAATGATGAAGACGCCAGCAAAGAAGGAAACCATGTCACCGAGCAAATCAGTTCGGAATGCAAGCCAACGGTTCGCAGCCCACAGGTAGATGAAAGGACGAGCCTGCACATTAATCTTGGTCAAGTTTTCACGGATGAATCGACGCTCATCACCATAGGCGCGAATGGTCGTCATTCCTGACAAGGTCTCGCCAAACTGTTGGAAAAGCGGGCTCCTCTGGACGGATTCTAGGCGCTTGAGGTCTCGGGAAGCTCGGAGGTAGAACGACCCGACGAACCAGTAGGCAGCGGTAATGAATACGCCTGCGACAAGGAAGCCAGGTGTAATAGCCGTGATTAGGACGACGGTGACAATAATTCCCAGCGCACAGCCAAAGACACCGATGGCGATTGGGGCAACCTCTTGGTCCACTGCCTCAAGGTCCTTGCTGAAACGGTTCATCAGCTGACCGAGAGGGGTAACATCGAAGAACTTGAACTTGGCCCGTGAAACGCGGGAGATCAGGTCGTTGTGAATCTTCTTGGAGGCGGTCAGGGAACCGTAAAACACCCAAATGTCCCTAATGAAGGCAGCAGCCGAGCCTGCAACACCAATGATTGCGAGGCCGGTGAGATAGTACGTGACGTCAACGTCTGAGTTGGCAGCGGCAGAGAATGACGAGCCGATTCGGTTTCCGTAGTTGGCAATCGAGGCGAAGTAGGTCGGGGTCAGCGACTGAGAGCTATAGCTGTGGGATGAGGTTGAGAAAGTGATCTGTTGCTCCTCAACGTCGAGATACTGCTTGGCCCACTCTCTAACCCAGTAGCTGGTTGCGACACCGGAGAGCTGCTGAAGACCGAAAACGCCCAGAGCAACGATCCAGAACCACCAGGGGCCCATGGATGACAGGTACAGCTGGATGACAGGCCACTTGACGGAACCTTCCGCCTTGGATTCCTCCATAGCATCCTTCTGCTCCTTCTTTTTCTTGTCATGCTTCTTGGATCGGGCATCGGTTGTGTTCTCGTCACCAGGGTTGACAACGGTTTCCGAGCCATCCTCACCAACGCTGGACGGGACGCGAGATGGTATTCTGGACACGGAAGCAGAGTTGACAGCGGCCTTCTGAATTTCTTCGCCAAGCTTGCCAGAAGCAATGAGCTCAGCAGAAGGACCTTGCGCACCAATTCTGCCGTTCTCAAGCGTGACGATGTAGTGAGAAGAGGGTGCGCAGAGCGAGAGGTTGTGCGTGACGAGAATGCAAGTTCGGCCAGCCATCAGGGGACCCTTGATGGCATTGTTGAAGATCCATTGGGCTGTGTGAGAATCGACAGCGCTGAGGCAGTCGTCCAGGAAGATGTGTTGGGAGTTGGAATAGATTGCACGGGCAAGTGAGATACGCTGCTTCTGACCACCAGACAGCGTAATACCCTTCTCACCTACCAGAGTCTCATCTCCGTTGTCAAGGATCTCCAGGTCACGCTCCAAGGCACACGCAACAATCACGTCTTTGTATCTCTTCTCGTCATAGGGAGCGGCGAAGAGGATGTTCTCCTTGATGTTGGCGTTCACAAGCCAAGCGGCTTGAGCGACGTAGGCGACGGTATCGGCCAGACCCGTTTCGGGATTAGGTCGCACATCCTCACGGCTTCGGCCACCGGGGCAGTAAACCTTTCCATCCACCAGTGTCATCTCACCAAGGAGAGCCATAAGCATCGACGTCTTTCCGGAGCCTGTCGGACCAGCAATGATGTTGAGCTTTCCAATTTTGAAGTCGATGTCCATGTCCATGAGGCGGAAAGCCAAGCTCCCGTCCTCTGCGACAACATCCTTGCCACCCCAGATGAAGTTTGCCTTCCGGAAGCCGATGACCTTGTTGCCGTTCTCATCGATGTTGTCCTCGCCAAGCTGTTCGTATTTCTCCGTCTCCTCCTCGGTGAGGAACTCTTCGACACGATCGAGGGAAACCTTGGTTTCTTGTACGTGGGCGAACATGTCTCCCATCTGGTCGAGAGGGACCCGGAGCAGCATGAAAAGTGAAATAGCAGTGAAGGCAACCGAGGGATAGAGAGGCTTCTTCTCAATGAGGGTGTACATTAGGAACGAGAAGAAGGTGATCAGAACGGGAACCGAGTTCCACACGGCAACGGCAAACGACCAGATGATGTAACGGGACCGGAGAGCCTTGAGTTCTGCGGCGCGCTTCTCATCGACAATGCGGCCGAACTTTGCTTCCCAAGCGAAATACTTGATGATGCGGATGTTTTGCAAGACCTCGTTGGTCACATTGATTCGCTTGTCAGTAGCTCCCAGGATCTTCTTCGACGTGTTGGCGAAGCCACGGGCAAAGCTATAGTTAATGGGTAGGAGGAAAGCCATAACAATAAGGCCGGGAATAGCACTTAGACCCATGACTTGCCAGAGCAGAGCAATTGCGACAACCAGTTGGGAGGGAGCGGACGCGCAGATGAAGTGCAGGTAAGCTGTGACTTCGGCGATCTTGAAGCTGTCCACGGACATGAGGTTGATGATGGTGCCCAGGTTGGCCTGCTCGTCGTCCTTCTTGTCGCTGTCCTTTGCGGCACCGCTGGCGGATTCGCCATCCGCGTCGGCGTTCTTGAACCCCAGTTTTTGCTTAATCTTGGCGAAGAAGCCCTTCTTTCCAGCATCTGCGCTCTTCTTCATACCAAGCTCCTTGTCTTTTCCTGAGGCGGCCTTGCGGCGAAGGGCCTTGGCGTAAATCTCGCCAATTATGATGGCGCGAATGCGAATGCAAATCTTGCGACCAATCCACAAAGCCATGCCATCGGCAAAAGACCGGACGATATCTAGAACAGGAAGTAGGATGACGTACAGCCAAAGGACGTTAATAGGAGCTCCATCAGGGTGCTCAACATACTCAAGGATGGCCTTGAGCAGCATCGTTGGGGCAAAGGTGAAGACACCAGCCAGGGCGGCCAGAGCGAACTGGGTCAACAACTCGCCCTTGAAGTACTTGACCAAATGCCAGGAGAGAGAACCGGTTCTCTTGAGGGTCCGGTAGTCAGCCAAGACAGCGGCAGCCTTCTCCTTGGGGATGAGGTTCCAAACACTCTTCATCTCCAGGGTCTCCTTGTAGCCGCGGAGAATCATAGGGTCGAACCACGAGAAGGTGGCCAAGGAGAAGAGAGAAGCCAAAGGCTCACGCGAGGGCTCGATTCCATCTTCCCATTCCAAAATCACCGTCTTATTGCCTTTCCTTGTGGTCATGGCCAGACCGAACAGCAGCGTGGTCAACGCGAACTCCACGATGACTAGAATTTGGGCGAGTTTACTAGGCGGGTGGACAAAAACGGAGCGGAAGACGCCAACGGTGAACAGCCACTGGAAGAAGTAGATGGTGGCAGTATGGTTCCAGATGCGCGGCACGCGCCACTTTGTGTTTCCTAGGAAGAGACGCAGAGTGACGAGTATGGCAACGTAAACCCAGTTGACGAGGCCGACAATAGTAACTATAAGACCGTGGCTACCGGGAATAGTAGATGTGATAAGACCGGTAACGTGAAGGGCAATCAGACCAGCAATTGCTAGCTCCTCCACGACAATGGAGAGGTTCTGGCCAGGTGGGCTGTCGGCTTGGACGATGGAGCCTTTGGTGGTGGTCTTAACCAGAGCCAAGCGGCCACCGCCGTTCATGGTCAGTGCCTCGTCATCGTCGTCTTCGTCCTCAGCGGTCTCTTCGGGGGGGATATCGGTGTGGCCGTGGTGAATGTCTTCCGAGACCTGCTCATAGCCATGCTTGCGGTTCTTGGAGATACTTCGCAGAGTCTGCAGGGTCAGATGAAGGAATGAAAATCCTACAATAATTAGAGGGAAGAGGATTTGGAGGTAGCTGTTGAGAAGCACACAAAGATCAGCATTCGTGGTTAAGCCAATGGTTAGATGGATCTGGCAGCTTAAAGGCACCGCCAATTGGATTGTGGGTGCGGAAGGTTGCGCGTCGCGATGTGCGGTTTGATGCGCGATGCGCCGGCAGTGGGGTTGAAAGGGATGCGACAAGACAAGACAAGGGCGCATCTTCAAGACTTACTCCTGCTGGAAGCACGGCGTGAGATCATCGACCTGCCATACTGGCCAGCTACACTGAGCAAAGCTGCCCATGTTTGCTGCTACCCCACTCCCGGATGGCGGGGAGAGACGCCCAAAAAGAAAGCAATCAACAGTCGAGCTCAGACAGCTTGTTGGGGTAGTACGAGTGGGATTCTAACGGCGTCTTTCGCTTCGGTTCGCAACGGCGAGGCAGCGGTGGCGGAAGCCGACCTCGGACTTTTTGGGAACAGGAAGATAAACAGCGAACAGCCGGAGCCAAGGGCAGTGGGAGCGGCGTGTGTTTTTGTCTTGGCCTCGGTCTCGGAATTGCGAGGGAGAGAATTCGAGGCCTGGCAGATCGAGTTTCGAGGTTAACACACTGCTGGGGGGGAAGCAGGTGATGGCAGGAGGGGAACAAAAACACCAAAAGAAATCGAGGAAAGGAAAAGAGAGGGATGGAGGAGGAGTTAGAGTAGCAGAAAGTAGGAGAAGACGGATGACACACGTCTGTCTGCTGCAGAAACGAAAGTTTTGGGGGTGGGGGGGAGGTTAAAGGTAGTTTTCGGTCTGGTGTCTGTTTAGCACACTGACGGAAACTGACTGACGAAGACGATGGCCCCCCTTGTCATAGGTCACTGTCTGCTGGTCTTTTTTCTTTCTTCTTTTTTTTTTATTTTTTTTTCTTCCTCTTCTAAAGCTAAAGCTGGAGCATAGCAGTACAAGATAGGTAGCAATAACAAGCGGCACAGCACAACAGTAGGCGGCATCAGCAACGACAACGACGCAACGACGCAACTGGGATGGGGTTCCCACTATCTTGGCCAGAGCGGAGCCTCTAGTGTATATTGTCAGTATCCATGTACTCCATACCATACCCAGTAGAGCACTGCGAGCTCTGAAGCCAGCCGGAAGGTATGCGTCGCCCGCGCCTGCGGCAAGGTCATATGCAGCTCGGAGGTCCAGGGTGCTATGTACACCAAGGCGTCCAGGGTCGAGCCCCGCTAGCTACACGATGATAGCAGAGAACGTCCAGTAAGAAGCTTCAATTCCAGCAGGCATGTGCTCGCTAGCCACTACTGGCCAGAGGGCTCTTTTGGCTGCTGGGCCTCCACCGCAAGTTGCTTGCTCCTTCCTTGGGTGGAAAAAGTTCCCAAGTAGTAGTACGTTTACGTCCACGTCCGACCCGCCTAGCGATAACGTGCCGCAGATATCCGCAAAGTTGCTTCTGCTGGTAGTGGTAGTGGTAGTGGTGGTGGTGGTGCGACTGTTTGGTACTGCCTACAAAGTACTGCACGCCATAGTTAGTGGACTCCCTGAGTCACCGGCAAGGCTAGATTCATATCTGGGTAAAATGAGGTGCTGCAAAAGTCTCGGTGCAGAGGCATTCGGGGTCATCTCGATGATGTAAAGCAACTCCCCCAAAAACCCACACCCAGCTCCTTCTCTCTTTCGGCCCAGCCCCCAATGGGATGGCCGAGCACCTTGTCGGCGTGCTCGGTCGCCTTCTTCTCCACTTTCTTTTGGGTACGTACCCGAACTTGGATCTGGGAAACTGGATCAGTAGAAAAAATGAGAAATTTCCTTCAGTGGAAAAGAATGAATCAATCAACCAATCGGTACGTACCAGTTATTTTCCAATCTACTTTGCACGTATTTAACCTTACTACATGGTACCTTAGACGCAGGTTCTGGGTAGACGCCATCCATTCATCCACATATCCATACCGGTACACTACCACGCACGAGGCTCACGCTAGAAGTGGAAAGGGCCAGCAGGTGTAAACTGCAAGAACTGTTGTAAGTGGAGGCATAAAGTAGTGCAGCTTCAAAAGTGCAAGTGCACATGGAAGGCGTTGCAAGGCGTTGCAAGGGTGTGGGGCCCTGCCGCCTCAGTTGCACCTTCCTCGTTGCCTCTGCTCCTCCACCCATCATCAACCACCCATCCACACCTACTATGCTAGTGTGCCTCCCCCAGTCCATCGTCCTCCAAATCAATGCATGCATATCCTCGGGCGGTCTTCCCGGGAACCTGGCCTCCTTACACGCAAGCAAATGCCTGCCTTTGAGCCTCCAGTTCACCGTGTTTTCGTTGAAAACCACCTCATGTTTGTTGTTGCAGGAAACAGCGGCATAGGCAACGCCCGTGTCATCAGCAGCGACGCTCCCTGGGACGAAGGTTAAATCCCTTGACAACATGGCTTTGCCATTCCGAACCTCCCCCCGATGATATCAGGATGATGTCTCAAGCCAAGCCGAACTCCAGATGTTCGGGAATTGGATGGGGATACCTTACCTCAACTTTACCTTATGGGAATGCCACTTTGAACAACAGACTTTGGCATGAGCCTTGAGCTGCGGGCTTACGTGCGCTATCCATGCCTAGCCAACATGTTTTCCCCCGAAGCTCAAGCCTGCTTCGCCAGGTCCTCTCACACCCACCAAAATGTCTAACGGTGCTTGGAGCTTCCGATTGCTGTCCAATTCTCATGAACCGTCAGGATCCTCTGCCTGTCCCTCTACATGAGACGTCTTGCTAGCCTCTTGATCTATTAACTTGTTTCTTGATAGTTGCCACGAGGCTCAAGGTTTCCCAACGTCCAGGAACATCCGCCGCCGCCTCCACCACCATTACACAATCGGAAGCTAACTTTCTCAACCCAACCACCACACAAGCATTGACAAGCGCACGGCTCGTCGTCCAGCATCCACCACTCGCCTACCAATGAGCTTAACCCTTTGATTACCCAAGTCATACCATGCAGACCGGTGCCCAGGTCGCATCAACGGTCGACTGCAAGAAGGGACTCACTCGCTCTTCTCGGACACCCCAGAATCGCCCCGAGTCGCACATACGACTCTTTATTACGTGCTTCGCTTCAGCTGCCTAGACACGTGAACGGCGACTGGTTTACCCGACTGATACCCAAAATATTGTCAGACACGGTTACTTGATGACAAACGACATGCTCATGACCTGCAACTCAGGTCCAATCGCGCCAATTGTTCGTTCATACATTCATCACGCGGTTGATCAGCGCAGTACTCCTACCAACGAAATCACGCAAGATGCCCCTCCAAATGGATTTGATTGTATTGGACCCTCAAACTTCTAGTCCGCCTTGCCATTCCCATTAATGAGCGACCTTCCCATTGGGGCCACAAGCTGCTCCCTTCTGCTTATGCCCCTCCATGGTCCATCCCATTTCCAGGAGCGGCATTCGGCCTGCTAAATGCCATTTCCAATGCCATTGTCAGCGGCCAGTGACTCACTCTCACCGCCATTCAAAAACGATACCACACCTACTGGCGGACCGTGGATACTGCATGACATCTAAGGTTGACCATACCCTGGCTCTTGGCCGTACCGGCAGCAGGAAGCTACTATCCGACTGCTGTAGTGTAGTCTTGAGCATACCCACCAACGTTGAGAGCTTTCTTCGGCTTGCCCTGTGCGTGCATGCAGACGGGCAGAAGCACACAATGGCTTGCGGGGTTCCAAGGTACTACAACCAAGCATTTTGTCTCTAGAACCGATGATTGGTCCCCACCTCTCTCCTTGATAAGGGCCGCTTTCGGGTGCTCAACGGCCTGCAGCACGCGAATCGGCATGAACAGTGGCTTCGGCTTCGGAGGGGCTCGGGGGAGCAAATAGCGCACGGCACGCGCACCAGCAGTACAATTGCTCTTTTGAGCCGCGACCTGCGTTGCGGATTCGATTCCCTGTCTCTTGTCGCGAGGCCTGTCCTGCTCCCCGAGTCCACGTTTAGCACAAGGTGAGAGCGGAACGAACGCCCAAGAAACTGCAAACCACGGCCTGGCAACTGTCCGGTCTGGAAGCCTTGGAGCTTTCTTTCAAACCTACTCAATATTCGGTGCTGCCCTCATATACTTGGTGGTCAATCTGCTTCCGTCGTTCCACTATGGTCACAACCGACTCATGGTGGTTTACGAAGGATTCTTGTGTCACCTCGTCAGCCTATTGACGACGTGAATCTCAGCCTCCTCGCACTGTTGTCCGTGCCCACCTGGTTGTTCAGCTCAATTATGTAGATTGTACAAGGTTCATGTCGAAGGATTAGATATTATCAATCTGATAATCTCCACTTCCTTGGTCATTTCTGGACACCTGTCCCGTCGCGGTTGTAGGGTTAGGAAAGCTTTGGTGGGCATCACTTCCATGGACTTGTATCCCAGCGAACTTAATATCCTCCTTAGGGATGTTGACTCTTGATCTTATGAGCTCCAAATATTCCAGGCCAGAGAAGTACTGATCGTGTTCCTCGCTTCGTGAAAAGCTGCCGATGAAGCTAAGCAACACAAACTGAGGTGTGGAATCCAAAATCGAACGCATGACTACCAAGTACACCTAGATCTGCATCTTACACATTGAACATGGACCGAGACGAACCGTCAGACTTGAGCATCAGTCTCCAATACGCGTTGTACTGTGTATAGAGCCGGCTGAAAACGTATGAGTTTCTCTGCCTGTAAATCTGTTTAAGTACCTTCATGAGCTCGATCCGAATAGCAGGGTGATGTAATGGAACAACCTCGCGTCGCTCAGAGTACACAGGTCAGCAGATCATGCCAGTAATGGGACAACTCCAACGTGAGCATCAGTCTGGAAGCCGACTACTCCAGCTACTGTTTCAGCCTCAACAAAGCAATTTTTGAACGTCTAATAAGGGCCTACGACTTCATTGGCAGCAGGAATGACTTTCTCACCCTGAAGTTGCCAGCAGATCAGCCAAGAACGAGCACATGTCAGATATACCACCACATTCTTCAGCTAGTGGCTCGTGCCGTTGCTCTGCCATTGCACGCCGATCCTCTCGTTTCAACAGCAGCAGAAATACAATCACCCCCGCCATCAATAATTCTAGTCCACCGCGAGTGCCTAGTCTTAGAATCCTTGAATTAAGAGCAAACAAGACGCGACTGATATCAAGGCAAGGCAAGCGGCAGTTCAGAGGCGTTCCGCCCCCACTCCAGAATTGCGAGACATAACCCTTACCCAGCATCCATCGCCTCTTATTGGGTGTTGGCGAAGCCAAACTGCCCAAGCCATCATACTTCTCGAATTAGAGAAGACTTCTATGTATCCGTCTGGAGAGGGTAAGTCTGGTGCATTTGGGTCTTTGCTCACATATTGGCTTATATTTGGAGGTACTACCATCGATTCTATGTTGTTTGTTCAGTGCTAGCCGGGTGGATTGGCGTATCTCGACTTGCAAAGTCTGGGGGATGGGCGAGTTATGACATATTCAATATTGGCGAATTCAAGTGATTAATGTCATTAACATGTTGCAGACAGATGAATGGATACATTGATGCTCAAATGAGCATCGCAGATCTTGAGGTGGTATAATTGCCTGTTTTAACGGATATGAAGCCCTGGCCACGCGATGCTGCCTTTTGGAGCACTGTGAAGTATCACGTAGGCATTCTAAACTCTCACAGGAAACGAAAAGGGGTGCTAGTCTGTCGAGAATCATGGCTGTATAGTCCGTACAGTTCCCGGCACGATTTATGCTGTTTGCCTCTACTTCGTTAATGTCAGCTGGGACACAGTCAAACCATGAAGCCCAACTTGGCCGGGCTTCTCATGCGCACTAGTAACAGCAAGTCGTTCCAGCAGTCTACCTACTGTGGCGAATGTTGTCTCTGGCGTGCCAGTGTATTGCTGTCTTGCTGAAAACACCCGTATCTTTGGGTAATCGAACCGCCGGGAGTGACGAGTCTGCGGAAGTTTGCCGTAGCGAGACACAATACAGTCAGTATCGCATGAGGTCTGGGACCGCCGACTCGTTCTTCTCGTACATCTTCCATGTAAATGAAGTAAACACTGCGCCTTTCCGCCTATTAGGCAAAACATCCCCCTAATAGTCGACCGGGTTTCTGGACTGTATACATGGACGTGTAGTCTGCGCTGAGTAAGGCCACCTCATCCGTGTGTCAACCTCTCCCGTTCCCTCCTTCAATTTTCAATCATTCCTAGAGGTAATATAGTGAGTATGCCCTCGGAACATTTGAGGATCACGAAAGTTAAGGACTGTGCTACGTGTTCACGGAAATTCACACGGCCAAAGACACAAGTGAGTAGGAAAGAGAACTCATAGAGAAAGGTCGCCAGTAGATTACCCCATCAGCACACCTGCTTTGTACAATCTTGCATATATGTGTTGCATGCACATAGCAGATCAAGACGGAAAGTCGAGCATCAACATCCTCGATGAAGATGGCGGAGGGGCGGAGGCACGATATCAATCTAGGCATTCTGCTGTCCGGCCAAAAGTTTACGCCTATCGCTTGGCTTCACACTATCCGATGTAAGATGGGCTAGATACCTATTTAATAACGTCAGATTAACCTGGCCATGCGACCCTTTTGTCTACAGCCTCTGGCGTTTTGACTGGTGCTGAAGACAACACGAAGCTGCAGGAGCTGCAAGGAGCTGCGTGGCGTCGAGACCGGGTTACACTTCCGAGACGGATCGTAACGGTCGTTTTTCGTCTCCCTTGCAGCTTCAACGGCGGTTGTCTTACCCACAAGTGTTAGCCTCGAGGAAGAAAGGCCCCTAAGGTTTGAGCCACGTCTGCTGAGGATCTGGATACTTTATCACACAACATGTAGCAGAAGGCGACGACAACGCCAGCGGGCAGAGTAATGGCAAGGCAAGGCAAGGCAAGGACGCATGGTGCGTGAAATGGATTTGTTCGCATACATGATCTTAGATACAACACTCCCTACACCGGCTGTCGGACAGCAGCTAGGCAGAGCCCCGAATCGGGCGCTTCTACCAACAGCTGCAACGTTCGTCATGCTGACCTCCATCATTATCGAGGCCCGGCGCGGGAGTGACTCGCCCGTTGTCCTAATGCTATCTTAACCCATCACCGTGGAAACCCATTGCTTTTGTTCTTCACGAGGGGGAAACTGAGCACCTCGTTATGACTTTTAAAAATGTATGCCGTGATATTACACAGAGAGCCACCATTATTGATGACTGCTGGAAGCCTCGCATGAACAAAGGAAGAAGCTTCGTTATTTCTGAAAAAGGTTATGTCGTACTTGTTGGCTGGTAACATTAACCCATAATCATGCCCTTCATACCGGCCAGATCACCCTCCTTGGCAGCAATTTCGAAGTAGCCGTAGATGATGCTGAATGATTGTTAGCCACAGATCAATAGTTGCATTAGTTGGAATAAAAACTTACGTGACAGCCAGAAGGGTACCGGTGCCGGAGCCGAGGGCTCCCATGAGGTCGCTGGCGACGGAGAGGGCACCAATGCAGGCACCACCGAAGGCAGCGGCAGTGGGGATGATACGCTTGAGCTCCTTGTACATGCTCTGGTCACGGTGACCGGCCATGACGAGACCCTGGTCCTTGAGCTGCTTGGCAACATCGCGGGGGCTGGAGCCGGAAACTTCAATCCAGGTCTTGGAGAAGATGGCGCAGGCACCGAGCATGTAGACGATGTAGACGACGGTGTGGATGGGGTCGAGAAGAGCGTCCTTGAAGTTCAGGGGAGGGGACATGTAGTAGGCAAGACCGGAAATAGCGGAGAGCTGAGCGGAGCCGTCCTTGGCCTCCCAGACACCGAAAAGGCGGACGAGGAGGTTGTCAGAGAAGCGGGAGTAGAGCATCTGGCTGATCAGGAAGACGTTGGAGGACAGAGCAGACTGCAGCATGATGGGCATGTTGGAGGTGTAGAACAGGCGGACGGGGTAAGAGCCGCGGGCACCACGCTGGCGGGAAGACTTGACGGGGATCTCGACGCGGAAGCCCTGGAGGTAGATGACAGCGGCGAAGACGGCAATGGTGGCCAGAAGGTTCATGATGTTGGGGAGGTTCTGGCGGTAGAAGGCCTCCTGAAGAGCGCGCTGCTTGTTGGGCCAGGTGAGGAGCAAGTGGAAGAGGGCAATGACAGCACCCTCGAACTCGGGGCCACGGCCGGTGTTGATGGTCGTGGGAGAGAAGGCCTTCCACATGATGGACTCGCAAATGTTGGTGGCGATGAACAGAGAGATACCAGAACCAAGACCGTATCCCTTCTGCAGAAGCTCGTCGAGGAGAATGACGATCATACCAGCGACGAAAAGCTGGAGAATGAGCAGGAAGACGATACCGGCGCCGAGGTCAGAGGGACGGCCGTAGAGGCCGGTGAAGACGTAGACAGTGGCGGTACCGGCGGACAGGATGAAGGCAAAGAGCTTCTGGGCGGTCTGGTAAAGCTCGCGGTCGCTCTTGAGGTCGAGGTTGACGTCAATCATGTGGGTGCCAGCAAGGAGCTGGAAGACCATGCCGGAGGAGATGATGGGAGTGATACCCAGCTCCATCAGCGTTCCTCGGTTACTCGCCATGACCATACGCAGCCAGTATAGGGGATCCGAGTTGTCGGAAGAGACAATGCCGTAAAGGGGCATCTGGCTCATGACCAGGAAGATGAGTAGGGTCAGGGCCGTCCACATCAGCTTCTGGTTGAAGGGAATCTTGGTCTCCGGCTGCTGAACCTCAGGGAGGAACGGCACGAACGGCTTGACCAGGTCGAGGAACCGTACTGTAGCAGAAAAGCGCGTAGGTTAGCCATTGAGGTGTCCTGAGATGGTGAATTGATCCTAATCGTGTCGAGGCGGTCTCGGCCAGAATATCGCGCGCGTGTCCATTTGGGAGCTATGCGATGTGGCGAACGGGAACAAAGAACGCGATTATAGGGTCGAGGGGAATCGTGTACTTACGAGAACTCATGATGGGCTGTTACACTTGGGGGAGGAGGGGAACAAAAAAACAAAGGATCTAAATCATCCAGATGAAGGGGAGAAGAAGAGAGAGGTAGAGAGCGACAATGGCTCCAAGTGTGGCGAAGGGGGAGGGTGATGGTGTTGGAAGAAGGGAGGTTATTAAGGAGATGAGGAGAGAGCTCGGGGCGAAAAGAGGGTCGGCTGCGATCTGGCTTCAAAAACGCCAAATTGTCGATGTGTCCAAAAATTTGGTGGAGCTACGTGCACGTGACCATCACATAACACGCAATTTTACTGGGTAAGGACCTGGGGTCTAGTTCACTGTCACCTACCTTAATCCTCCAGTGTCTTTTAAGGTCTAGGTGCTTCAGCTTAGCAACTTCCAGGGGTCTACAGGGGATCCCGGCACTGATCCAATCCAGTGGCTGCCCGCTGTCTGTGACTACCAACTTTCCTTCTGGCGCGTTCCGATACGTTCTGATGCCACATTTTGGAGAATCTGAACCACCAAAAATATTCCAGAATACCTATCAAGACTCCGTCATCAGGACACGAAACGAAGCACAGCACATCACATCTGCCTCGAGCACCCACCATGTTGTGATCCTTCTGAGTCACCGCTAGGCAACGGAGATATCTGGTATGATCTTTCGGTCTGTTTTCAGCCGAAGGTTCATACACAATGTTGTTGGCAACATGACAGCCCGAAATGCGCCCGCGGACCCTTTGGTGGTCATTCTGGGCTCGACTGGAACTGGAAAATCAGAGGTGAGCAGGGCTCTCTCTTCAACCATGTGATGGCTGGCGCACTGGCGATTCCGGGCTGACATGTATTGAAGCTTGCCATAGAGCTTGCGACACGCTTCAAAGGCGAAATTATCAACGCAGATGCTATGCAGATGTACAAAGGCCTGCCCATTATCACAAATAAAATCACCACGGAAGAGCGCCGCGGCATACCCCACCACCTGCTCGACCATATAGGCCTCGATCAGCCCACTTGGATCATTGAAGACTTCAAACGCGAAGCGAACAAGGTCATCCGCGAAATTCGAAGCAGGGGCAACTTGCCCATCGTTGTGGGCGGCACGCACTACTATACCAATGCGCTGCTCTTTGAAAATACCCTCGTGGGGGCGGAGGACGAAAAGGCAAGAGATGGAGAGTTCAAGGACGATCAGGATGACGCCGCCTCGTTTCCAATTCTCAACGAACCGACAGAGGTCATACTGGCGAAGTTGAGGGAGGTCGACCCCGTCATGGCGGACCGCTGGCATCCCAATGACAGGCGCAAGATCTCGCGCTCGCTGCAGATCTACCTGCAACACGGCCGTCCGGCTTCAGAGATTTACGCCGAGCAGCGTCAGCGCAAAATCGCCGACAGCAAAGCTTCCGATTCCGGCAGCGCGAGCCCCTGGGAGACGCTACTCTTCTGGGTATATTCGGATCCCGAGGTCCTGAAGGAACGTCTCGACAAGCGGGTGGACAAAATGCTCACGGCTGGTCTCAGCGCCGAGACGCAGTCCATGTATGAGTACGTCCAAGCCAAGCAGGCTGCTGGCGAAGAGGTGGACTACACTCGTGGAATCTGGCAGTCAATCGGATTCAAGGAGTTCGAGCCCTACCTCAGGGCTCTTAACAGCCCAGACCAGGCAGCCGACCCCACCATTCTCGAATCTCTCGAGGCTACAGGGCTCGAGGACATGAAGACCTCGACACGGCAGTACGCAAAGTACCAGACGCGCTGGATCCGTACCAAGATCGTCCCGCTCCTTCAAGAGCAGCCGAGCGCCATGGACCACCTCTTCGTCATGGACAGCACCGACATCTCCCAATGGTCGTCTAACGTCATAGATACAGCCGTCGACATTGCAGGACGCTTTCTCAAAGGTGAAAACTTGCCCAACCCGGAGGGAACCTCGGAGAGGGCCGGTAACGTGCTCCGGGAGGCCAAGGGGCAGACGGAGCGGACGCTGTGCCGGCGGACGTGCGAAATCTGTAAGACGACGTGTGTGACGGAGCAGGACTGGACGAAACATGTCAAGAGTAGGCGTCATAACGTGCTGCTCAAGAAGACGAAGAGGAGGGCACTGGTAGCCGCTGAAAGGCCCATGGCTGTCGTGCCAACACAGGCTGATGGTGACGTTGCCGAAGTAGCACCAGCAGCAGATAGAGCATCGAGTCCTGAAGTGGATGGACTCGGCATATTCGATGCGCCGCCATAAGATCGTAAAATCGTAAAAGTTCTGCTGAATTCCATGGCGCCGCGCCGTCTTATTGTTCATCTGACATGTCTCTTATCCCATCTGAAGGCGAAAGCTTGGCTTATCCCACGTCCAGCGCATAGTTTGGCTCAGCTGATGGAAAGTGACGTGGAAGCCCCGACTAGCATTGGCATCGCTACTACCGCCGAAGCTCTAAAGCCATCTTATCAAACCCCCCAGATTTTAGACTTGGCTAATCCGCGTATTCCTTCTTGGAGATGACGCCCGCCGTTTTTACCTCATCCAGTATCCCCCACCTCGTTCCTTCGCATTGCTCGGGTCTCGTATTCCTCGCTTTCGGATTCTCCCCTAAACGAGCTTCCTGCTCGCATTCAGGAACAGATCGAAGGCAGATCACATCACATCTGCTAGTGTGTCCTCCTGACTGTTACGCCGAACATGGGCCCAGAACCTGGATTGTCTTTGCCTTCTCACAGGCTGAACATGGTTGTTTTTACAGTGCCTCTTGGCGTAATGCTGCCTGGGGATCTTCCACAATTCCAACGCGCTTCCTGTCCGGAGCCGGGATTAGTTATCCGCGTATGACTTTGTTGCACAAAAACCTGGCGCGGATCTGCCATGTATGGCGAGCCTGACAACCCCCCCTCCTCAAGTTTATATCGCATGATGGTCATCGGCGGGGTTACATCACTCTGCCCAACGGCTACAGCCGAACTCCCATGCGTGTGTGCCAGCACGTATTGACGAAAAGGAAATGTAGCGATTTGACGGCCGCACCGCCCAAAGTGCTGAAAGACTTGCCCGGCAACGACGGGCCATTCACTACATGTACATACTCCTAGTCGATGATTACTACCGCTGGGCGCCAAGGCCTTGGAGAGCCAAAACGTTTTACGCTTGCCATAAGGCTGAGGAAGCTTCACTGCGTTTTCAAAGGCCGTAGTGTGAGGGGTATACGAGAGGGTGTGTGAGGAGGAAGACGAGCCACACTGCCGTAGCTCGTCACTTTTGAACACCTTTTTCCGATTTACGGATCGACGCGGCCCTTGATTGGGGTTATTACGATCAGAGACAAAGTGACTAAGACGTCCGTCTCGTTCTCGTTCTCATGACCGGAGGAGTGGGGTTTTTGCCCTGGTGAACTTCCAACGGCGCCGAGGCTTACCTCCATTTTTCGGGTTGTGGGCGCTCAAATCCAAAGGAGTTAAGGACCGTCCCGCCGAAAAAGTTCGGGTGGGTGAGGTAGCGGAGATAATTGAGTTGACGCTGTCCAGGGCGTGCGGAGTTGGTGATGCTAGGGACCCCCCGGTTGAGATGGTGGTGGAGGGTCTATCGCTACGTGGTAAGTGGTAGCAGGTGCGGCTGTACGATTGGAGTAAGGTTTGTGGGATAGGACGACTGTACACCATTACACTAATTCCGGTTGAGCCATGTGTATCCAGAAAGGAAGGGTAAGACGAAAAAAAAGCAAAAGAAAAAGCATGGCAATAAGAACTCCGTCCGTCAGGTAGCTTTAGAGCCCCCCTCCCCTCCCCAAAACAAGGTCCTGTCCTTGAGCTTATATGTAACATTTGGAGATGGAGTTGAAGGTCTAATGCCGTGCGTGCTGCTCCCAGCTTCTTCTTTTTTCGATCTGCGCCGGGCCCACTTCCTCAGACCGCTACGAACAAACTTAATGACCCTGGCATGCAGTTTAACGCTGTCAATTGTCCGTTACCGTGACCTTGTTTTTCTCTTCGCACTCTGAGGAGTGTTCAAGGTGTGGTGTGGTTGGAAAATTGTTCATGCATATTTGTCCGCAGCTGCCGAACGAGCTTGGGCAACTCGCGGGGTAACCAGTTCTTTGGGGCGTAGTATGGCTGAGCTGGTGACTTTGGCAGCCATCAACTCTTTGGGGCCGAATCCACGAGGACACTGTCCAAGTGGTTAGCGCGATAGGGCATTGATGAATATGTACTGAAGCTTGGGTTTTGTTTTATTTTATTTATTTATATTTATATTTATAGTTATTTTTATAGCAAGTACTCGAACCCCCCTTAGTGCGGACCAATGCCGACATTACTAGATTATCAAACGTACCTGATGGTAGACTCTCCAATTACAAAGGTCACTTGAAATAGCGATACCACCGCGTGTCCTAGCAAAAAACATTGCCGTGTCTTTGTGCAGATAGTTCCGCGCCCTTGATTCCGCATCGAAGGCTCGAAGGCATCCTGGGTTGTGGTGTCCGGCCCGTGGCTGCGAGGACAATAAGTGTCAAGTCGGGAATAGCGGATGTAGGTAGCCAAGAGCCGGTAGTTGCGCTGACCAGTCCGTACATTTCACATGTCCGACAGCTATCGTGCTAGGCCAAGCGGGCTACCCCGTGGCCATGAATTGGTGGTTAATGCAGCGGCTAGCAAAGTACATGTCGATACTGCACTGAAGTGCGTTATTGCGGACTTTGATGGGTGCCCATGGATATGTGCCCTTTAGAGCGACAGGCAGTGGCTGCCACGGGCCATGTCGTGGTGGAAAGTGTAATATAGTCGCCCCGCAAGCCCTTTTCGCCAGGTGTAAGGCTCGCCTAGAGTGTTCAATGGCGTTCCCTGTAAAGGCTTACAGGTTTCATAAGAGCCAATCGAAAAGGGTTACGGACAGAGGGCGCTGCAGTGAAGTTCTCGTCAAGATAGAAATGTAACACATGTAGTTGAGGACGAACCCTGGCTGTTCCGAAGCTGTGAGGGGCCCATGTTAAGCTTGATTTTAGACGTTGGTGGTTGATCGGTTAAGTGCATTTCCGCTCCTATGTGCCCTTGGGATCGCCTGTAACCCAGAATATAAACATATCCGATTTGGGCGATTGCAAGTCGAAGTAGTTTTTGTTACTTTTGTTTCGATGTTGGGCAGGTGCAACCAATTTTGGAGTAAAAACTTGTTCAAAGAGGGCCCCGCCCCTGCAAGAATCGACTTTTATGGATATAAACAGGTATACTGTAGTGTGATTTGCCCATACATCTCACAGGTATTGTGTCTTAGTGCAGTCTTTGAGTACTTGTTGTGTAGGCTACGGAGCCGACCCATTTAAATTGGCGCTCTGCCGGCGTACATGTAGTTAGTTGGGTAATCCTCGCCTGACGTTATAACTGTTGCTGGTCCCAATTACTGGGCTCAGCTACGGACGGAGTCAAGGAAAACAGGCCCAACTGCCTGTGCTGTCGTAACCTAAAATGGAATAACGCTTGTCTATCCTGTTTGCCGAGGCAGCTGGTGAATGCCGGCGTTGCTCAAGGCGAGATAACACCACCACTCGGAGCATAAATATGTAATGTAGGCTAAGAAAGCAAAATTAAGAAAGAGCCGAATACGACGGAAGACGGAGGGCGGAGGTAGCTACGGCCGGTGCCCATCGGAGAAGGAAGCTTAAAGTCGGGCAAAGCAGGTGCCGGCGGAGCAGAGGAACACTCCAGCGGACTTCTGCACATAATACATATCTTTTATGATGAGTCACCGCCGACGGAGAGCAGGCTCCACTTATGGGGCGCCGCTCTACTACGACGTAGTATGGTATGGAGCTTGGTCGTGGATTTCCCAAGTTCAGTCAAACACAAAATTTGGAAACGTCAAACCGCTTTTTATTTTGTTGCAACAACTGGGTAAGCAGCAGCAGCATCCGTGCGTTGAGGTCACCTGCCTGGGTGAAGCACTTCAAAGTTTACACAAATTGCACAAAATTCGATCGGAAGCATCTAGCCGTGCACAACATACTCTAAGCCGCATGCAACCTAGGGCTTTGCACAAGCTGCAGCCGCCGTAAAGGTTAAGCACCAGTCGCACTTCGGCATCCTTGGCTGCATCAGGGTCGGCCCTGTTATGCTCCGACGTCGCCCACCGTCAGTTAAGGCACCCTGTGTCTATCACACGTGTTTTTTTTTTTTTTTTTTCCGTCCTTTCTCCCGCTCTCTTTTGTATCCGCACTCCGAACTTATGCGCACTTTTGTCCTGCTTACGGCAGCAGTGCATTGGCGCAGTTTGAGGGTGGGTAGTCCAGTGTCCTGACGCAATGGTCGGCAGGTAAGGACAGATAAGGAAAGTCAAGCCCACCCAACAGCAAAGGCCAACCCAGCCAATCCACTTTATGTGTGTGGTGGTTGTTTACTATGATAGTGGTGGTGCCTCAAAGTGCCCATTTCTTACACCACGTACTCCGCCGTATGGCGCTATACAAACACTTTTTAGCCTCTCTTACAGTCACACAGGCTTGATAATGATTTGCATGCACGGGAAAAACCCACATCCTGGGCTGATGGGAAAACCAGATGCGCTGTCCGGTGACGCTGTCAATTGTTCAAGTGACAGCAGCACCTAATGTAAAACGCTTCTTCTTCTCTTTTTGGGGGGTTGCTGCATATTTCATTTGCGCTCCAGCTCATTGATTGTGGCTTATACGTACCAAGACTTGTTTGCCAGGACTAGATAGACTAGGCAGTTGCACCTGTCTCCCGGACCTCTTTCGTTTTCTATACTCCTTCCATCCCTCCCCATCGAATTCTCGCCCATTGCTCTTCCCCGTCCGTCCCCTCCCCTCTTCTTCTCCCCTCGCCCCCCCCTCCGCCGTCTGCGCAGGGACCGTTTTGACGTGAATCCTGTCAGGAAACTCTCAACTGTCAACCCCCGCCCCCTCCCCCCTTCCCCCCCGCCGCTGTTTGTGAGTGTCCACACACTCACACTTTTCCATCTCTCTCTTTTTCACTTTACCCACTCCCCAGTACTCCGTACCACCTCATCTTCCCTTCCACTTGTTCCCGAACTGCTTCGGTACCGCCCACTCCCGTCGCATACTCTGTCGCTTCCCTGTCCATTTCATCGCCTTACTGGTACCTTGTCTTCGCCCTGCATGCCTGCCGCTCTTACGGCTGTTGTCCCCCCTGCTTCTTTCTGACCTGACATCACACTGAATCCTGAAGCTCATGGCAGTTATTATTGCTCATTTCTGCCCATCTGCTACCCGTTTCGTCCTCCGCACCCGCTTACAGGTACCAAACCTGGCAGTCAGCACTTCCGAAAGTACGGCGGATTTGCGCCAACGCTGCCTACAAGGCTTCGAGACTTCAAGATTCATTAAAAGGGTCGTAAATATCGTCCCAGGGACCAGGGTTTTGTAACCTTCCCATTCCGCCACAGAGGACCTAGACCACACACACTTACGTCCCAGTTGGCCAGCATCTTGTCGTCATTCGTCCGCCAAACCTCCGTTTCGTCCGTTCCCTCCGACGACCTCAACCCCCTCTCCCCCAAAGTGATTAACCTGCCCTATCCCATTTTCTTTTTTTTATTTTTTTATTATTTTATTTCTTTTTTCAATTCTAGCTTTCTGTCAACTGCCTATTCTGCCAACTCGGCTGGCTGCTTGTTGAGAATAGCGACGTACTACCTCTATTCTCCCACACCAACCGTCGTCTTTGTTTGAACTACGACGGAATCTCTCGGGTCAGCCATAATAGCCTCTGGGGAAAGTACGTAAACCACTCAACTACCTACGGCCACAGTTACCTGAAGCACTGGACTGGGATATATTGGGCCCCCCCTCTTCCCCCCCAAAGATCAACTAGGCACAAGCGGGAGATAGCCCAGTGAGACGCACACAACACGTCGTTCCCAGTGGTCACTTTCTCCTCTTGGCTGGGTATCGCTGCCTCGGATTTCTTGGAATCCCGACGAGTCAGGGCTACCCAACTGTGACCCGCGCCCGCATTCGATTGATTGATTCTTCTCACTTCTTCTGGACTGCCTTCGCCGCTGTCTTTGCTGACGCTTTTATCAGCATTGCGCCAGTACTGGTCAAAATAGTGTCACCACCTACCGGCAGAAAAAAAAAAAAAACACCCCAACAGACTACTGCTGTTTCTTTTTTTTTTCTTCCTTGGTCTGTCGGTCGCCGTCTCATCCTTTGACCCTCGTCATCCACTCTTGTTTCCCACCACCACCACCACACCCTCCACCACCATCAGCCGCCGCCCGGCCGTTCTTTCTCCCTACATCCCACCAAGTCGCATCCATACCTCTCCCGCCAAATTTGGTACGTACGCGCTTTAGTGACTGCCTAGGCCCGAGTATTCATTTCCTATCAGCCCCGCCAGGTATAAGTTTGCACACATCAGTGCCGCACGCGCGTCTTCAAACAGGGCGCCCCAGCTCTTAGCCTCGATCAATTCAAACCCTGGCTCCCTAGGCCAGGCCTCCCGTCCGCACTTCCCGGACCAATCCCCGATCAACCTTCGACTTGCCATATTGCGTCCGCCAACTTCCACCACCACCTCTACCACTTTCATCCGCCGTACCGCACTATCGGGGGAGCATAACGATTCAAAAAACGTTCTCCTTGCGCCACTCTCCGCTTGTTTGGTAATCCGCCTCGCCCGTGATCACAAAATCTAACCAGGATCTTGTTTTCCTGCCAATTTCTAAGCCGATAACCTTACTTTCCACCGCGTCAAAGTGCTCGACCCGCAAACCTCGCCAAAGAGGGGCACTCTTCACTCCCAACTCCGGTTGTGTCGAGACTCTTCTTCATTTTATTACTGGCTTTAGGTCTCACGTCCGCCACAACTCTCCCCTACATTCTGCTGGAACGGAACCCCTGCAACCACCTTCTTTTTTCTTATTCTCTCTTTCTTTTCTCTCTATTTGTCGGCCCCCCTTTCGCCGGGGAATGATCATAAGGGCCGCGCGCCCACGCCTTCCGATCCTGCGGGTTTGATACCCCGATTCTTGGACGAGTTCGTCCAGGTTCAAACTTCTCCTGTGGCAATCATCACGTCTCCATAAAGCCTCCCCAGCCTCCCAGCCCTATCAATGATGAGCACCACCTCAAGTCAGCACAAGAGCCCTAGGGTTTTGGCTTGTGTCCTCTGTCAGCATCGCAAAATAAAATGCGACCGCAACACCCCTTGTTCTAATTGTATCAAGGTACGCCGTCATTGAAGTCGGTTTGCCAAGCGTACCTTCCGCTGACTTGTACAGGCCAACGTCGCATGTACTCCCTCTACACCAGCTCCCGCCCGAAAGAGGAGGAGGCCAAATCAAGACTTGCAAGAAAGATTGGCCAGGTGTGAAGCTTTGTTGAAGCAGTATGCTACGAGCTCAACACCACCGCCAGCTGGACCACCCACCGTCTCTACAACATTCTCTCCTTCTAGTCACATCACTCCCTCCTCAGCAGGTCCATCTCCAAGTATTACTCAACTGCCCTTGCCTTCAGGCACAGCCTCTGTCGTCGACGATATTTCTTCGCCAGCAACAACATCATGGAAGCCGGCGGGCAAAGTAGTTGTCGAAGATGGCAGTGTCAGGTTCATGGACAGCTATCTCTGGGCAACCGTTCATGACCAGGTGAGTACTATTGACTTTATCAGATTCGGCTTGCTTTGACAACCTCGTTCGTATTTTACCTAAAACTTGCCCTAACCCTTCGCGTAGTTGACAGCCATGCGCCAAATCATCGAGGCCGAGGAGGAGGAGCAGAGTGTGCTTGGGTCTGATGCTGTTACCCCCGACGACAACGTAGATCTCTTGCTGAACGATTTTGCAACCATCGACTTGGAAGATGTCACTCCGTCGCCCGTCCAAATTTTTAGACTTTGGCAAGTCTTTTTGGAGCGGGTCAATCCCATTACCAAACTCATACACGTCCCCAGCCTGCAACCTCTTGTCGTCGAAGCCGCGGCCAACCACTCCAATGTCGCCAACAACGCCCAAGCCCTCCTGTTCTCCATCTACCTTGTCTCAACTCTGACCATGACCGAGGCCGAAGCTAGGCAGATGCTTGACTCGTCCAAGGAGGACGCGCTCAAGAGATTCACTACTGGTGTCAAGGCAGCGTTAACCAAGGTCAACTTCCTCAAGAACCACGATATGATGACGCTACAGTCCCTGATCCTTTACTTGGTTCGTTTTGACATCTGTGATTGCGTCGCCAAGCCATGACCGCTAACTCTATGTAGATTTCTCTTCAGGGCCGGTACAACCGCCACGCTGCCTGGGTTTTGAGCGGCGTGCTGATACGAATTGCTCAAAAAATGGGCCTTCACCGCGATGGAGACTCGCTCAGCCTCACTCCGTACGAGACGGAAATGAGACGCAGGCTTTGGTGGCAGATTATTATGCTGGACACGAAGTACGCAATGGTTTCTGGGTTCTGCGACACCCTGCTTCCTTGGAACTGGGATACGAAGACTCCGCAAAACGTCAACGACGCCGACCTCTTCCCCGGCTCAACCGAACCCATCCAGCCACGGGAAGGCCCGACCGAAATGGCCTTCTGCTTGCTGTTGTACGAAATTGGTCGATTTATCGTCGAGAACCGAATCCCCGATTTCGAAGCCGTAGTGCTCGGCGCCATGGAGAACGAGTCGGCAGATTCCCAACTTGCAAACCAAGCGACGCTTGCCAAGTATCGAGCCCTGATCGATAACCTGGATTCTAAGCTTATCGCGCTTGAGAAGAGATATTGTGATCCTTTGGCAGGCAATATTCACATCGTGGCCGGCAATATTCGGTCAATGATCATTGACAAGATGCGAGCGATGATGATTCCGATGCGCGAGCTCCCAGAGTGGGGCACCGAAATCTTCAACGTACAGGATAATATGTTTAGGATATCTCTCATGCACCACGAGCACAACGTCGAATTGTACGACGTCATGGAGAACACTGGCTTTGTGTGGTTTTTCAAGCTCCACTTCCAAATGGACGTCTTCATCGTCATGGCGGGACAGCTCTACAAACGACCAACGGGCAGACTGGCGGACCGCGCTTGGAAGGTCATTGATCGGATATATCAGTACCATGAGGAGCTGTGGGATATGTCGAAGAAGGAGAATGCGCAACTGGGTATTTACATGCTCAAGGCGTGGAGGTCGCGAGAGCGATCGTTGGCACACCTCGGTCTGCCTTACGAGACACCACTGGCTGTCCCCAGGCTGCAGGGTGTTGTCCCCCAGTCGAGCTCAGAAGTTTCGTCAGCTGGGCCGTCCCCAGCCCAGCCCATGAAGATGGAAGTCCCACCGCGACAAGACCAGCCTATGGACCAATACTTGGGCAACTTCTTGGATACGACAAACTTTTACGACCTAGACATGTGGGCGGACCTGGGGGTTCCCAACGGCAACATGAACCAGCAATCGGCAGCGAACCTCTTTGGAACTTTTGGCAACTTTGGTGCACCACCGACAGGTAGATGGTGAAGGCGCGAACTACATGAATCGAAATTCCCGAGCAGAGGCTGATGGCCTTGAGAAAGGGGACAAGCCAAGACGGAGGACGTCTTTACTTTTTGCTGCATGGGAAGGGGCGGGTATTCTGGCATGGATTGGTCTTTTTGCGTCGGCTGTACAGTGACAACTCTCCACATTTGTAACGATACTGTCATGAGACGACGAATCTACCTAATGGCAAATAGAAAGGATTCAGTGAAGATTGGGCAGTTCCAGGATTGCCATCATTGTCCCAGAGGTTGTACTATGGTCCCCATACTCTGGTAAATTTACAGTGTCAGACGGCGTCACGGGCAAGGCATAAGCCGCAGCTAGTCGCGCGGCGGCTTACGGGCACAGAAGCATCATCTGCGCATCTTTGAGGTTACGACACCGGCATGCGCCTAATGAATTGCCCAATACCTCTCGACTGATGACACGCGGCGCACACGGCTGATGGGTCATTTGACGCCGGCAAATGCACAAGTGGCATTTGCAAAGGGCAACATGGGGTGATTTTGGATGTCGTTGATTTGGAGCTATTGCTAGTGAAAATCTGTCCTCAACGCGCTCTTCGGGTCTGGAGGGGGGCGGTGAAAACGGGACGGGCTCCGAGAATCGACAAGTAGGACGCTGTGCCACGTTTAGGCGCCGATTCAACCGTATAATACGTATAATAGGGCAGGGGGAAGATGCGACGACACATGCAAGCCTCGTATCTTTGGTCCTTCCGAACCCCGGTCCCAAGATACTGGATGGCATGATGCGGGGCAGCGCGGGCGTTCACAGGATGGGCCAATCAATCGGGCTCGGTGGCCGGGGAATTTTGGGCATGATGTTTGCTCGGGGCCATGGAGACCGGGTGTCTCGAGTGCCCGCGCCCCGAACATTGTGTCCGTCTCGGGCCCGAAGGCTCGGCTTCGGGGAGTTTGAAGGGCGGGCTAGTAAGGTCTGCGCAGGGGGTTAAGAGATTATTGGAATAGCGTATAAAGACTTTGCGCCCGACGTTCCCACCCATACTTTGGAAATCCAGGAACAAATGATGCTACCTATGTATATCTGAAAATGTCTTGTAAGTTTTCTTGTTCCTCTGGAAATGCGAAAGCCTTGTGATGTGTCTACCCTTGCTTTGTACGAACCAGCAGCGCTGCTATTGTAATAGACGCCTAGGATATTGCCTGGGGGCTTTCCCCTAATCAATTCTCGGAAATCTTGAAAGAAAAACGAAGAGCTCCCGCGACAGACTATACGTAACGGCATCAGTGGTTCGATTCTTGCGTCTCAGTTTCCCCCGGGAAAAAGGCGACGGAAATAACACACTAAAACACAAATCCGAAGCATTTTTTAAGGACGCTTGGCCCCCAGCTTCGATGAAGCTTGATTACTCTTGATTTGCATGTCTTTTCCCCTTTGGGCTCGCCGAGGGCACGTATACGTACGAACCAATGACAATGCTCGAAACTGGCTAATTGACGCCGCTCATCTCTCCTGTTTGGTCTGAAGGTCGGGTATGAGTGGGTTCATTCGGGAGCCACCCCACCGGGGGGGCCAATTGGCGGCGAGTGACTCTTACGGTGTCATTTTTATCCCTTTGAGTGTGTGGACGTTTTTGGTGTTAGTTTCTGCTGGTCGAGCGTCGGCTCGAGCGAGGGGGAGGCTTTGCGGGAGCCAAGATTGGAGGCTCTTGTTACATTTGTTGTTGGTCCGGGGGTGGCAATACGAAAATTGGATCACGAATGGGTTGTGTTTTGTTTTGTTGCTATTTTCTTTCTCTTGCGATCCTTTGCATTTTTGTCTTGGTTCGGGAAGTGCAGCAAGGGGGGCAAGAGAGACGAAGAATATAACAGGACCAGTTCAAATCTTTTTCATCTTGGTCTTTTCCCCCTCTTGGTTCATCGTCATCATACCAGTTGGTCCCGTTCAGTGATGCCAATGTCGCCTAGATTGTTTTTGTTTGCGAGAGACGTTTGGTCATGATTTGAAGCTTTGGCATCGATTCTCGAACCAAGATACACGAACCAACACCGTTGACGACCACAGATATTCAACCTGTTACTTATTACTGGGCACATAATTTGAAGGATACGACTGCAGAGTCGACTGCAGTCATGATGTTATTCAGAAAGAGGAATAAAACGGAGGGTGACGTCGCACCGCCGACGACCGACACCACTGTATCACCACAAGCGAGCAAGACCGACGATGACCTCAAGAAAGAGGACCAGAAACAGCCTGCGCAGGCTCCCGCAGCTACCTCTACGGCGCAGTCAATACAGTACCCGACCGGCGTGAAGCTGTTTCTCATCATGTTCTCACTCCTCGTCACCATGTTTCTCGTCGCAGTGGTAAGCATCTTCACCAGACATCCCCCAACCTCGTCCGCTATCTGCAAACCTTTGCGTGAAGAATCATGTACTAACTTCAACCCCTAACAGGACCGCCTAATCATCGCCACAGCCATCCCCAGAATCACCGACGAATTCAACTCCGTGACTGACATTGGCTGGTACGCCAGCGCTTACCTCCTCACCAGCTGTGCCTTCCAGCTATTCTTCGGCAAGCTCTACGCCTTTTACAACGTCAAGGCCGTCTTCCTCGTCTCCGTTTTGCTCTTCGAGATCGGTTCCGCCATTTGCGGTGCGGCGCCCAACTCCATCGCCTTCATCATCGGCAGGGCCATTGCTGGCATTGGCGGTGCGGGTATTAGTTCCGGTGTCATTATCATCATGGTCCATTCCATCCCACTGCACCGCCGCCCCAAGTACCAAGGTCTGTTCGGTGCTGTTTTCGGCGTCGCGTCCCTCGCCGGGCCGTTGTTGGGAGGAGCCTTCACGACGGAGGTCACCTGGCGCTGGTGCTTCTACATCAACCTGCCTCTCGGCGGCGTTGGCGTCTTGGTGATTATCTTTCTCCTTAAGCCGCCTGCCCCGGCTGGCGGCGGCAAGTTATCCTTGAAGGATAAGATCAAGCAGCTGGATTTCCTGGGAACGTCTGTTATTGTCCCCGGGACGGTGTGTTTGCTTCTTGCGCTGCAGTGGGGAGGCGTCAAGTACACCGTAAGGTCACCATCTAACCCCAAAAAGTGAGAAAACCAGCTAACACACGAGACAGTGGAATAGCTCTCGCATCATCGCCCTTCTAGTCCTCACGGGGGTCCTCTTCCTCGCCTTCATCGCCGTCCAGATCCTCCGCCCCGACACCGCCACCGTCCCCCCACGCATCATCCGCCAGCGCTCCATCGCCTTCGCCGCCTTCGCCTCCTTTTGTCTCGGTGCCCAGGCCATGATGTTCACCTACTACCTTCCCGTCTGGTTCCAGGCCATCAAGGGCTACTCTGCCGTCGACTCGGGTATCCGAACCCTCCCCACTGTGCTCACCATGATGGTCTTCTCCATCATCACCGGCTCCCTCATCTCAAAGATTGGATACTACACCCCCGTCATGCTCTTTGGGTCCAGCCTCATGTGCATAGGCGCGGGTCTGCTCACGACGCTCAAAGTCGACAGCGGCGCGGCCCAATGGGCGGGTTACCAGGTCATCTACGGCATAGGCATGGGACTGTCGTTCCAGGCGCCCAACGTCGCCGCGCAGACGGTGCTGCAGCTGCGGGACGTGTCGGTGGGCACGAGCATCATGCTCTTCATGCAGACCCTGGGCGGCGCCATCTCCGGGGCGGTCGCGCAGAGCATCCTCAGCAACGAGCTCGTCGACAGACTGCGCGCGATCCCGGGGCTGGGGGGCCTGGACCTCCAGGGAGCCGGCGCGACGACGCTGACGCATCTGCCCGACGACGTCAGGGGCCCCGCGCTGGAGGCGTACAACGAGGCGCTGAGGATCGTCTTCGTCGCGGGCGTGTCCGTGTGCTGTGCTGTGGTCATTGGGCCGGCGGGCATGGAGTGGAAGAGCGTTAAGAAGGAGCAGCAGGCCAAGAAGAAGGCGATGCAGGATGCCGAGGCCGCTGCTGCTGCTGCGGCGGCGGCGGCGGCGGCGAAGACGTCGGCGGAAGCTGGTGTTCCTCCTGCTGTTGTCGACCCCGACGCGAGGAAAGAAAAGGATGTCGATGAGGGGAGTGATGGGGGTGCTGGTGATGAGAAGGATACGAGTCGGGATGATGGTGTGATGGGGAGTACGGAAATAACGGCTGCGAAGGGTAGCTAGGTGTCTTTTATGTCGTGTTGCTGGGCGTTTTGTTTGCTTTAATGTAGACGGTTTAATATGGCATTTCTGCACTCACGGGAAGTTTGCAGTATTTAGAAGGTTAAATAGCTGGGAGCAGGTCTACCAGCACTGCTTCGTTAAGAACCTAGTACGTCTGTGTATTGATAATGACGTTACTGTATATGTTGACAAATGAACATGTCAAGTTGATGTGTCTCGTGCTCGTGGTGGTGTCTTTGCTCGACTTCACGGACGTTACCTGGGCCGGAGGTACCTGTTGATATTTTGAATGCAGCTAATGACAGGAGTAGATGGCACCGAGGGGCGTTGAAATTGCAGTGAAGTCAGAGCCAGCGGGAATCCTATTTTAACATTGCGGGATGACGTGAGATGGCGAATCTTGACGAATACACCCTAGCCCCTTGGCGAAGGGGAAAAAGAATGCAGTGAAGATTTGGAGAAGGGGGCGAGAAATGCTGAGGTGATTTGGACAGTGAATGTGCGGGTTCCTTCATTTAGGACCATGGCAAGTTTTTGAAATGCATCATATACGCCTGGTATTTCATAGGCTAAGTTGTTCTAAAACTGAGAATGAAAAGGAACCAGAATGCTGCGCGTTTGGAGCGTTGATTTGATACCATGATGTTGAGCTAGGATCTACCGTTTATTGATCTGGCTGGCTGAAGTCAGGTATATAACTATTAGACATCTTGTTTGTACGGGTCTTCTTGAATAGCTTATACGCTATATTTTTTTGAGTCGACTCAATGGAGAGATACTTTCAGAAGAAGTAATAAACGGCCGACAAATAGTAATACTATTTGTTAACTCAAGGGTCGTCCGACTACGTATCGCCCTAAGGTCACACGACCTGTATAAGCCAAGGTGAGAGGTAGTAAAAATGGCAATTAACAAAGAACTATAAACAGACATCTCTAATGCTAGTACACTAAAAACATTGAGTATTGAAACAAGTCTTATTAAATAGATTTCCTCTGATGTTATACTTCCCCTATTTCCTCCTCTCCCCCTCTTTTTCCTCTTCCTATCCCTTTTCTCTCCCTCTCTTTTCTCACCCTATTCCTCTTTTATCTCTCCCTTTTTTCTCCCCTTCTCTCCCCCCTTATTGCCCCCCCCTGTCTCCTCACTCGTCACTCATTCCTTTCTTCCTCATCCTTCCGCTTTCATTACCTAAGTAGAACGATCTAGCCCCTTGGTAGGTCATATATAGGCAACCAGCTTCATCTGCTGTCAGCGCGTCGCGCAATCCTTAAGCTATGAAAGCATCAAAAAGGGTCGGTTAATGCTAGGCCAGCAGCTCAGCATTACGGTTATACTTATAAGAGTCCCGCGCGCCGCTCCTTGCATACTCATGTAGTCGGCTCAGATGCAACAAGTCATACACGGGCTCAACCCGTTACACGTATAGCCTGGTAGGGACACAAGGTGAAGAGGTGCCTCTCAATATACACCATCGCAACCGCCGCATACTAATAATCAATACTGCTCTTGAATTTTCCAAAGTAGTATAATACGTTTAGTAAATAGAGACACCAGGGTCAAAGTATATAGTTACTAGGACACTCCTAGCCCAACGCAGCTATTGCAAACAATGGCAACAGCTATAGTAATAATTATATAGGTAAGAGTTATTGCTACTCATGACTAACCAAGACGTCGGTGTGCTCGGAGTCCTATAAGATCAAGGCTGAAGAAGAAAGCCGGCATTAAAGCCGGCATTTTGACCGGTAGTTGTTGTGGCCCCCTCCCACAATTCGCAAAACCGGTCAGAGTAGTAAGAGAACAACGTGCACTGGGGCTGCTGTGAGCATAGCTCAGCACATTTCAAGAAGCTGTTCGACCCGAGCGTTCGCTGCTGTATTTGTGAGCTGCCTTCCCACCGCTCGCCGCAACGCGTTTCGTATTGCTTCCCGTTCACTGTGGTAAGGGGGTTCGGCGATGTTGCGCATGAGACGGTCGGCTCGATCAGGACACCCGAGTTTACAAAATTGGCGGTTTGGCTGGTGGGCTGGAACGGCCCGATGAACGTCAAGCACTGGAATGTGTAGAGGGTAAAACCGACGCACTCGAACTCGCCTGCACACTTTTCCGCGCATGCTGCGTAGGTCTCTTGCCGAGTCTGCGATATGAGGTTACTTCCGCTATATGCCCGCCCGCAGTCCTTGGTGAACTGGCGTCCGTTCGTTGTGACGAAGGGAGCCGGCGAGCCCTGGCAGCTGTCGGCGCCCGGGACGGCGATGCCGGAGTCGTCGGTGGTGCTGGGGCCTCCGCCTTGAGCGTATCCGTTGTACAGAATGCATATCTTGTTCGGCGAGTACTTGAAGATGGTGCACGTGGGTCTCTTGGAGCAATCCTCGGCACATGCCGCGAAGTTCGGGTGTTCAACCACCCCTCCTAGCTGCTCTGTTCCTGCATATCTGAGCCCACAATGCGTGTTGAACCGGCGGCCGTTGGGGGCGACGAAGGGGTCCGACGAGCCCTGGCAGCTGTTCGCGGGGGGAGGGGCGGCGATGCCGGAATTGACGGTGGGGTCGGCGCCGCCGACCTGGGCGTTGGCTCCGCTGAATGTGAAGCATCGGCGCTGTCCCGTCAGGTGGAAGGTGGTGCACGAGGGGTCCGACGTGCACTGCTGGGCGCAGTCTAAATAGTTCGCCTGCGGGGTGTTGGACAGCTCCGTTGATCCAGTATACCGGCTTCCACACAGCTGGTTGAAAAAGCGCCCGCTCTGCAAATAGAAGGGGTCCGTCTGTTCCCGGCAAGTCCTCGTTAGGGGCACATCGAAGTCTATACCGGAATTTATATAGTAGTCCTCGACACCAGTAGCCCGAGGGTCCCCCCCGAACCAACTGCAAAGGTTGCCTTGTCTCATGACGAAGACGGTGCAAGAGATGTCCGCCGAGCACTGCTCGGCGCATGCTTGGTAGGTCCCAAGATTGCTCTGTGAAATGAGAAACTGGCCGATGTACTCATACCCGCACGCCCTGGTAAATTGGCGTTCATTCATTGTGCTGAAGGGGCTCGAAAGGCTCTGGCAGCTGCCGGCGGGCGGGATGACCACGCCAGAATCAACGTCCGGACCTGCATAGCCGGCATACTCACCAAATCCACCATATGTAGCGCATGTGCCTGCTACCGTAAAGGAGAAGGTAGTGCACAAGGGGTTTAATGAGCACTGCTCGGCGCAGGCTATGTAACTCCCTTGCACATTCGAAGATAGACTCGTAGATGAGGTATACTCCAGCCCGCAATGTCTGTTGAATGGGATTCCATTCAATGTGTTAAAGGGGTCTGTCTGTGCCAGACAGCTGCCGGGGACCGGAACCATGACGCCAGAATCAACGTCCGGGCTGCTATTACCGTTGAACCCACCCACTCCACTATATATGGCGCACTCGCGATATATTGTATAAAAGAAGGTAGTGCAAGACGGGTTTGCTGAGCACTGCTCGGCGCAAGCTGCGTAACTCGCTTGATCGCTCGATGATATAAAAGTCGTCCCTATGAACGTCCGCCCACAATGTCTGTTGACTTGACGTCCATTCGATGTACCAAAGGGGTCTGTCTGTGCCAGGCAGCTGCCCGCGGGCGGGACGAGAAGGCCAGAATCGCCTTGACCACCGGTGAGAGAGGCGTCTCCAGCCCACGTAATGCAGACGCCGTCATCCCCGTAGAAGAAGACGGTACACTGGCCGTTTTGCGAGCACTCCTCGGCGCATGCACCATAGCTCCCGGGTGTACTCTGTGCTAGCTCCTGTCGCCCTGCATACTGGCTCTGGCACTTCTTGCTGAACTGGCGGGCATTTGATGTCCTGAAGGGGTCCGTAAGTTGCTGGCATCCGCCGGCCGCCGGAGCACGGAGGCCAGAATCGATGGAAGCTTCGCCACTGTCCTGAGGTATCCCGGTAAACAGGGAACATGTGTTTTCCAGCGTGTAATGGAACGAGGTGCACCGGCCGTCCTGTGAGCATGCTTCGGCGCATGCTACGTAAGTTTGGAGCGTGGACTCTGATAAATACACCGGCCCGACATATGTGCGGCCGCAACGCGGGTTGAATTGATCTCCGTTGGACGCGCTGAAGGGATCTGTCTGCCCCGAGCAAGCGCCGGTCACCTGGGGCACTGTAGACGTGGTGGACGAACTCGAACTGGTGTCTGTAGATGACTCGACAGTGCCTGTTGATAGTGTCGATGATATTGAGGGTTCTGAAGAAGTGAGTGATGTCGGTGGCGACTCACTTGCGCTTGCCGAGGGATTCAGGGGCGTTGTGGATGGGGGCGGCGATGACTCGCTGGCGCCCGCTGGAGTAGAGGCAGTTGTTGAGAGATCCGGTACAGTAAGAGATGTCGGCTCGGGTGAAATAGCCACGATCGTAGTTGTGGTTCTGCCGGTTGTAGAGTTGGTGAAGGAAAAACTAGGAAAGCCGGGAGAGAATGTCCTTGTCGCGGATCCCCCTGCTATCGTACTTGTTTCACCACCAACAGTTGCAGGTTGACTAGGCTGAGCGGTACCAGGGCTGGTAGACAGCCTGCTTGTCTCGATGCTCGGACTGAGTGAAGGCTGTGCGGGTGAAGTGCTGCTGGCTCCAGCCGACACGATTCTTCCGTTTTGGCACTGTTCAACTATCGACGGGCGTTAACAATGACCTTCTTCAAGTGCCCTGCCGAACCTGTGTTTATGCTATAGACTTACCACCGTACGTGATGAGCACCACTGGCGCACATCCTGGCGGGCTTGATGTGAAGGTGATGTAGACCTGTCCGGTGACGCTATCTTGGCATAGGCCTGACCGTCCATTGGGCAACGCGGGGTTCGTAAACTGTAAGACTCCGTCGACGGCGGCAAATGTCGTTGTGATGGCGCCTGACGGCACAGATGTACTGGGACGGAACGGCTTGAATGACTCCCCAGCCAGGTAGTAAATAGGCACGTTACCGGCGTAAAGCTGGCCGAAGGAAAGGGTGAAAACAGCGGCGAGGTCGCAAGTTTGGGCGTTTGCGGTGATCCCAATGTCAACGAAGCCCCCAACGGCCCTCTTCTTTATATGTCTTTTTGAGGTCCCTGGGGCTGGAGCAATGAGAAAGATTACCGCTTGGCCAACTATCGCACTGGGGGAAGGCGTTGGATTTGAGGCAACTACACTGGGAGAAGTCGTACCACCCACAAGCGTGTTGCCCGAGGATGTAGCCCCTGATAGAATGCTACTCGGAGGTGTACCGCCTGACGCCGAGATCCCAGGTCCTGTTGGTATCGACGGGCCGCCAGCGCCACTGGACACCGCACCAGACGGCCTGACAGAAGCCGAAGTAAAGATTGAAGACCCTTGCCCAGGCCCCGTCGTTCCATAGGATACCGGCACCAAGTATGTCGACACATATGTAACGCAATGGACTGTCTCAGCAGCGTTCAAGCGTGGAGCAGCACCGCCGGCACCAAAAGCAACATCGCCAAGGAAAGCGAGGATGAAGATTTGTTTCCTCATCTCTCCCACTTGTTGCCTTGCCGTTTGGGAAGCAAGCTATGGAAGAGGGAGAAAAGAGGGATATAGGGGTAGGGTAAACGGATACTAAGTATGGGAATTCGTACTCTGATATTGAGAGACACCTCAAGTACTCTATGGTTAGTGAGACCCCTCGCCCCCTGTCTCAAATCTTTTACCCAACAGATCGTGAAAGGAATTGAGAAAACAAGCCAAGTGAAAACTGGGCGGGGATATCCGCCGGCCTACCTACTAGGTGGCTTGCAGGTCGGTCTCATTGGAACGCAGACTCGCTCAGGGATGAGAGAGATTGGGATTGTTCACAACATCACTTAAAGAGTTAGACCGAACTTTAGAACGGCCTCACGTGTAAAGTAGATATTTCCACTGACTTGTTAGTGCAGGCTTCTCTTGAGGCGGGTGTCAGTCTCAGCTGCGGCCTGTCTTTAGCAAAAGCCAACCCGGATGGTTGGAATAAATGTATGATGTAGGCAACGTGGGTTAGCTTCTCATCGAAAACCCAGAAAGCATGTCAAGGGAGCTATAACCAGATCACTCTTGAGAATAACAATACTAAGGTGCCAAGATGCTAGCGCAAACCCAATTTGGTAGTAGCCCATGATCACCCTGATAACTCAAGACATCACTCAACCACGTGAAAAGCAGCCACATCTGGGTGAGCAGGAGGGTGAAGAGATGACACTCGAGTAAATGATGTTTAGACGGCTGTTCGCGTATTTGAAGAAAACTCAGTCCTAGATATAAGTGCGTGCCCCTGTCTTCCTCGTATGGACAATTTTTGTTTGGATACCCCTGTGTGGGAAAGATTTACAAAGAGATGAAAATGTTTTTGTTACCTATATGAATGCTAATCTAACTGCCTGTGAAAAGCCATCCTGCTGATCAGAAGCTAGCTGACGCCCCAGCTGTTGAGGCGCTCAAAGGACATGAAATTAATGTTCAAGTAGTTGGAATACAAAGGGGGACCCCTGTGGCCGACTAGCCGGCCCCTTTGCCAAACGCCCGGGACGTAGGGCTAGATGGCACCACTTCCTCCCTTCCACACGTGACGGGCTGGGAGACGGCATCTCCCATTTTTCACTTTCTAAACTACCACTTTTACTCTACTTGACCATGTCGATTAGTAATCTACTGTTTGTTTGTTTTCACCCGTACGGGATTGTTTCACGCCTGTGAAAGCTACTACCAAACCAAGTATATAAATGGAACCCAACCCCATGGCGAGATGGTATCGGGTCAAGTCACACAAACAGTCAAATCCAACTCTAGCAATGCATTTTCATAACGACTACTACGAGTGGACTCTCAGTATTGAGAAATTTGCTTATTTGGGCAGTGACTCGTGGGTTCTTCTCCACGGAGGAAATATCAGTGCTTGAAATGAGGGCGCAGAACCCCTCAAAGTAGTTGGAAACGGATATTTGTTGATTAATGATGACAAAATCATGGACGTGTGGAAGACGGGTGAGACGTACAAGGTAACTGATGTCACTGAGATTTTCGACGTTTCTGGGCAATCGTTACCCCGGACCTTCACCGACCCCCATGGACATGATTGATATACATACGGTTTTCATAGCATGGACCCAAACAGTGACCCGTTTTCTGATCAGATGAATACGTTCCTGTTCTCTTCAAACATGTGCTGGATAGCTGGCGCATACAGTCTGGCAATCGCATGTCTGTGAATCAGATGTTACTCAATGACACTCGGAATGATGGATATGCTCTGTGGCAGCCTGGGTTGGACGCCATTTGCAAAAGCATTAAGGCGGTCATTGTGGTATGAAACGGAACGCCGCCCTCAACACTGGGATGGGATGAATCTGTTGCGGCTGAGATCCTATATGCAAAGATTGCAGACGAATCCATTTCTTTGCTTAGATCAAGCACTAAGAAACCAACCAACTTCCACATCACGTCACTTTTCATTCCCCCTACCTAGCATATCTACTGCTATACGCTTCGTTGCAACTTACGATCATAGCGGTTCTCTTGCAGCTTCAGCAAAGGCTGTAGTTGAGCTAACGCATTTCGGGAAGATGGATCCCTACCTCTGCTAAAATAGGGTTGACCTCCAGTTTCCATTTCTCCACCTGGGCAACAGAGGACCAAAGGCGGCGGCACAGCTCCAATCGGCTCAGAGAGCCGCTTTGGGATATTCTGTTGGTCTTGAAGAAACAATAACTATCGACTGGACTTTTGATCTGTCACCTCAACTTTTCAGAGAAGCCGATGTTGGTTTCCTGCTGGCGTCACGTAAGATAATTGCTGCCTATCTTGCACTTGGTACCTATTTAACCCCCTTTCCACATCAACACCCTACAGCCAATGTTGCCTTCACCACCACACTTCAACTTAACCCTAGGTACATCCAGAGTGAGCTCCACGCTCGTATTCCTCACGCGTCTCAAAAGTCTCGCACTCAATACTTAGCTTGGCGCCCATTCTTGTAACTATTATGTCTCGTAATCTGTCGCCAGCAAGCAAGGAGCGCTATCGCGGGCAGATGTGGCTCGACATCTTGCACCGGCAAACTGATGGCGTTGACCTTGTTGCTCTGGTTCTAGAGAACCCATCCAAGGTACTGCATAACGGAGCTATGCGCGCCGCCCTCCTCGGCCGCTCATACTACCCGCGCGACCAGGAGCATATAGTTCAGAGAGTAACTAATAGAAAATATAACTCATTCGACTGTCTCTTAACTCACGCCTGTCAGCCGGGCATTACAGGGACGCCACCTACCGCTGACTGCTGGAAGCTCATCATATGCGACGGCCGCCATGTCGAGGACTCGGCCGACCTCGACCGCCAGTACCGCGCCCAGTTGAAGGCCGAGGAGCTGCAGACGCCCGAGGAGCGTGCTAGAGAGGCCGTCCGCACTTCGTCGGAACGCCTCGCTCGCAGAAACGCCAAGCTCATGATTCCCACCCTTGAGAAGCTTTCCCCCGAAAAGTATGCTATGATGCTGGAGCGTGGCACTCTCTACACCGTCTGGCACAAGGTCATGCCTAAGCCGCTAGCCTGGATCACGGATATTACCGAGGATGGTAGTGATTGGGGCTTCGTTTTCTATAGGTCCGCCCAAGTTATGCAACGCGTTGGTGGCCGCTGGGATGATGCCTTGAACGTCTCGAGGGCCTCGACGAAATCTTCTATTCGGAGAACCTGGCCGACCAGCCCATCTTTGCTACGGCCGGTCCTGGTTCCATCTATCGTGCGGGTGAGAACTTCCTGCGATACTGGTCCCCAATCTGGATTGAGGACACCGTTTTTTGTAGACGGTGACCTATGTAGTACCCGGGAGTGAGTGTTTCATAAACTATTTATTATCCAATTACTAATACGCATATAGGCACTTTAAAGAATACCGAAAGACACTGGACGAGACTGATGGAATACTTGATAACACCCTAATCATTATCGACTCGGACTGCGTCCACCCCGACCTCCTAACGGTAGATGAACTTAACGAGCTGCCGCAGTTGGTGTTTTGGGTCTGGGCTTGCGATGCTGATTGGGAGCCGCCCGCCGGTTGCGAAGCCGACGAGGACGGGTATCAAGGGCGCCTCAAGGTGCCCTTTGTGTGTTTGCAGGCGTGGTTCTACGTTGCAAGGCTCAAAGACGTCGACATGAAGGCTATGTGGAAGAAGGCGCAGGGCCACCCGCAGCAATTATGGGTGTGCAACTCACTGCCGCAGCGAGAGTGGAAGCATGAGCCGTACATCTAAAGTAAGCAATCAAGTCTGGGCTCATTGATGGCTGCGGACGCTTCTGATTAGGATCGAGAAGGGCCTTGACACGCTCGACGTGTGTATTGGCCATCTTCGAGCGATGGAGTGTTGGGCATGGCAGATGTGAAGAGGTTATCTTGGATGCATCGTGAGCTGCTGTAGACCAATTTCAACCCGCTGCGAACTGAAGTCGCCTTTGGACCCCGTTCTGTGTGCGCACCCTGGGGTCTAAACTACGGGGCTCGCGACTGCAGCTCGTATGGGTGAGGAAAGAGACCCCGCCATCCGTGACCACGGAGATTACGCGGTGAGTCTGAGTTTCCCGAACCTCGTGATGGCAATGGATCTGGCTGCTCCTGATGATGGAGGATGAAACCTGAGTCACACCCCGGAAAACATCTCTTTGGGCGGAAATACCAAGGCGACATCGTGTCCCTAGGACCTTTTTTTTGCTTACACCCGCGCGCTCATGGGACTCAATTATCGATGACCTCGTCTCCTTGGACTCGGAGATCTTCACCATTCTCGTTCAGACGGACATGTCCTCACATTAGTAACACCCTCAGTGAAGGCTTTCTTTCCCATCAATTCGCACACCATGCTGTCTACTCTTTATTTCTCTCTAGAATGCGCGTGTCATCTCTACTGACGCTGCATGCCAACGACGGCTCGAATTCACCTTACCATAACCCTCGATCTCCATAGTTAAGTCCCCTCGACTGCCAACTCCCGGGCTATTAAGTTTGGCTGCCTCAGCTTTCTTGGCAGACCCTACTTTTACCTACCAAGCCCTAGTAGTATAACCCCTCACACTACTTGAAGATATAGATAGAATTTAGTCTAATTAGGATGGCCCTGCAAGCACTTGTTCTCGTCATTCAAGCTTTCCTCGGGGTGAGACAACATTATAGTAAACGTTATTACGATCAAATTCGCTGGACATATTGTACGCGAAATCGACTCAATCGGGGCAAAAGAAGCTCATAATGCCTGACAACTTTGTAATTTTATTCCGCTCACATGCAGTAACTATCTACACGTCTTCAATGGTAAATCTCAAATTTAAATTCGCATATTTGCCATTCGGATCTTGTTTAAAGTCGAAACCCGTGCCGTGACCAAATACTGCGACTTCAGAAATCTTCTTCAAACCGAGTGCCTGTTTATGCTGGATAAGCATCCAAGCCGTCCCGGAGCCGTGGACAGTCCCAAGGATAGCTTGACCCTGCCGGCTCTCCATTGAGAATACTGCTTTATCAGCCCAGCCTGGGACTCGTTTATAATCAGCTTCTTCCAAAGCTTGTACGACATAGTCATAGGTTCCCTTGTGAGAAATGTGTGATCGAAAGATGACTTTGAGGCTATTAGTTGGAACACTCTTCACTTGGCAGCCGTCTCTCCACTGGAAGTAGGCGATATCAGATAACGTGTCCAAGTCCGGAATGTCACCCTCTTTGAGCTGGCCCTGCCTATACTTGGGACTATAGTTTTCGTCGAAAATGAAGGCACCGGAAGCCGGGACCACTACATTGGAGTACACAGCTTTTGTAGGCTGCGAGGGAGAAAGTCAGCAGGATTCTTGGCATACTCAGGTATGGAACCGGAAACCCCTTCAAGGTGCTCACTTCTTTGAATTGACCGTCTTTAAGGAAGCGTCTGTTGTGCATGTAGTAGTACACAGTGGACTCCTTCTGGTCTACCGGAAGGTCTTTATCCGCGAAGGCTGCATCAAGGATGTTTCCGTAGGAAGGATCGAGTGCGCCCTTCTGGTCGAAGGGGTACGGAAAAATGTAAGTAGACCAGCCATTTCGGGTTACAGCGACCGGGTCCTGGAACGGGCTCACGACAGACTTTCCGCCGTTGTACTCTGCCGCTTTTTCGTCGTCTAGGGGAAACAGGTCTCTGAGATATTGGCCTTTTTCGACCCGGCCTTCGTAGTCGTTGGCAAACTCACGGAACTCCGTTCGAACTCGCTTGGTGAGGACGTTGTTGGGTGTGGGAGAGGCGCCAATTAGTATTACATGAAGCAAAAGCCACCAGAATAAAGAACGGAAGCTTGCCGATCCAAAAGAAGGAATAGTGTTAGCCATTATTGCAAGTAGCCGCTAACAACTGGTGGGATCGTGTGGATGCGTAGCCATCAACAGATCAAGCGCGCGCTGCTGTGGCGTAAACTCTTTTAAGTACAAAGCGAGGGTAGATAGAGAATGCGAAGTATAGTGGACTTGAATTGATCAGCACAGAAATCATCTTACACTAGTTCAAGGAGAATGATCGTCGCTTTTTTGACGGGGATTAAGTGTCTATTTCAGAGAAAATAGAAGTCGCATAAGTGACAATATTATTTCGGAACTTTAAATTGATAACCTGGAGTAGCTTTATGGGTCCGTTCAATCAACAACCACACAGTGACGCTGATCTTAGCACTTCTGCATTTTCATTTAAGCTACTCCGTACCTCACTGACTATGCACAGCTTATGACCATCCTATAGATTCGTGGAGTAAGAATGCGCCAAGTACTTGACGCATCAAGAAGAATTATTACTAAGATCATTGCAGAATTCTGTTTGACGGATGGGGTTTCGGCCTGAGCCCACACTCCGTAGAGCTCCATCTTCGACTAAAATGGTGTACCGAGGCATATTATAACCAACTTCCTCTTGTTTGCGGTGAATTCCAGAGTCATTTTGGGATGGCTGTTGACCATCTTTCATTGCCAGTATCCTCAAGTTTCCCGCGTGCATGTCTTGTATTTAGGCTGTTGCAACCCTGTTTGTTATTAGGGAGCACGTTGCGCCGATCCAATGCCTTAATTAGCAATGCGCCTCACAGCGCACAAAACCTTAACTCGGGGTCGCCTACGGCAGTCCGCAGGGCGCACTGGGTCAAAATTCAAGGTAGTGATAGGAACACCCTATAAGCGTAAACATATGTAATCTCGCGTAAAACGATTTTTGTTTTTATATATTTCTAGGTAGGTATTTGCCTTTTTAGGAAATAAGGGTTTACTATATAGAACTATAGCCTCTTACGAGGCTTTATAATAATCCGTCGGAGGTTAGATCTTCCGGTTCCGGTTGATTAGGTATATAGTCTATGCGTACAAATCGATAAATAAATAGGAATTTAGTAAAGCCTAGAACTTCTTCCTTTTCCCTATGCTAAGCAGAGTTTAAGTATATAACCCTTACTATATAGAAATTTATAACGCTTTCTATACTGTTTTATAAAGATTTAGTTTTTATCCTTTATTATACTTCCGTTTTCTTTTATCTTCTCTATTTTTGATTTTTTTTTCCGATTTTTTAAGCTTTTATATATTTCTATATAATTATTTACTAACTATTAGCTTTTATATAGATTCGTATATCTCTAGGCGCTAGGCGTCGCCCCCGTTATATTACGTATAGTTTTCTAGCAAAGCTTTACAACATCCTATAACATCCTATAATATCCTATAACATCTTATAACATCCTTATAATCCTAAACGATACTCGATATTACTTTATACTACCGTATATTATAGCTTAGGATATAAAGCTAGCTGCTAAGCTTATACTAGATAAGATCGGAGATATAAAGATTCCTACGGAGTTACCTGCCGAGCTACCTTCTATATATACTTATGCTCTCGGAACCGGCTACTACCTTACCTATATATATACTTTTATAATTCCCTTATAATATTATACTAACTTATTATAGATAGTATTCCTTATGCTAGTAATACTCTTATTAATAATATTCTAGATAATAAGGAAGTAGAGGTATAGTCTCCTTATACCCCCGTATATACCTTACTCTTTTGCTTATATATTATATAAGCCTATAACTTAATCGATATTCGCTCTACGGTTAAGAACGGAAGACGATAGAAAAAAGCGCTTAAGTATAAGCGTATATAGAATGCTAACTTTTTCCTTATATATATATACGGAAATACGCGCGAGGGTAAAGACTAGTATAAGAACTATATCAAAGGTAATAGTCTATATAATACCTATGTTATTCTAGACGGCTATGCTAGCTATACTAACTATATATATAATTCTAGCGTTTCTAACTATAGCTTTAGTAAGTTTCGTCTTAACCTATATATAACTAAATATAAATCTAATCTATTCTATATAGCCTTATCCCCCTCGAAGCGACCTGCCGTAGAGATTTATACTTCTACCCCGAGTAGTAAGAAGTTATACATCTCCCGTACGGAGTATAACTTTCTTAACGCAGTCCGTAGCGTTAAGCCTAAGTATATACGACTTATTAGAAATACGTTAGTTTCTATCGTAGACAAGCTTGCTAATGTTAAGTACGGTATGTTATTATATATATTTAGTACCGTCTATATATCTTTGCTAACTATAGTTATATATAGATAAGAACGAAAACATCGAGATTAAGCTTTATTACGACTAAGCAAGACCTTATAAAATCCTATACGACCGTATAATAATTAGAAATAACGTAAATATATATTTATATAATGCTATAGATACTTACTAAGGCGTATAGAATCGGGAATCCGGCATATAGAAACGATAAGTATACTTATAAGAATAGGAGGATAGATATAAGCATTTATAGTTAGTATTATAGTTCTTCCTACTAGCACGTAGCTATAATAGGCAGAGGTCGGAACCGTAATAAGAATAGAGATATAAATAGAATAGTATAGAAGTTAAATAAATAGTTATAAGGTAATAAATAATAATAAATTAATAAACGTAGATATAAGTAGTTAGTCTTGTATTAAGTTAGTCTACTAACGATGATGCTGTCGAGGGCGTCTCTTATACAGGTACGGCTAGCATGTAAGATATTACGTACCCTTAATAACTATTTATAAAACTATAATAGGTACCCTTCCCGAAAAAAGACGATCGTCCTGATCGATAGTAAAATAAAAACTAATTATATAAATTTATTCTTTTTATTACCTATCTATCGCGAAGAATCACGACCTTAATAATAAAATCCTATCCTAATCGTAGTCTAGTATATTACTAAAGCGGCTTTACTTAGCTAGGCTTGTTGTTCGAATATTCGTAGGCGCACATTCAGGGGTCAATCGTGATGTGTATTGTGCTTCTTCTTTTCCTAAGACCTGTCCGTATCCCTTACGCGCCTTCTTCCGGCGTGTTCCCTGTGACTAAGCGCACCTAGCGCGGTCCTCGGCCAAACATTCCTCCTAGCGCCTTCCTGGCATCCTAGGCGCTCTGCGTGTGCATCGCTTCCAGCGCCCCTGGCCTACCACCCTTTTTGACACACCCCTTTAGCCTTCGCGGCTCGAGACCTCGGTCCTAGGGCGCTCCTGCGCGCTTCATACGCAGCAGCGGAGGCTACCCTTAGGGGTGGCAGGCCAACCGACTTCTTCCTTATTCCTCTCCTCCTTCAAAGATCCCTCCGCTCCATGCGGTCTCTGCGAGAGGGTCCCTCTCTTCGCGTAGTGGTTCCGTCTCCTTCTTCACCAAGTTGAGCTGTTTTATGAAGTCTTCAAACGGTTGCCTTGCGAGGCTCTTCGTGAGTCCGTCCGCAACAAGGTCTTTCGTTGGTGTGTGGACGACGTTGATGGTGCCGTTCTCAACCTCCTGTCTCAACCAGTGGTTGTGTATATCAACGTGACGAAGCCTCGTCTTTAGAGTCACGAGTTCCTCAGTTACTATTCGAATCGTCTAGAGGTTGTCGCACTGGATCGTTATTCCGCCGCTTGGAATCGTCGTATTAAGAGCACTCAACAGACGGCTAACGAATATAGCTTCGCGTGCTGCTTGTGAGAGGGCGAGAAGCTCTGCTTCTGTCGTTGATGTTGTGACTGTGTCTTGTTTGTTCGCTCTCCATCCGATCAATCCTCCAGCAAGCCGTAGTGCGTACGCCTGAGAGCTCTTTCGATCTAGCGAGTTATCTGCGAAGCTGGCGTCTGATGCGACTTCGAAACTCTTGTTGTTGCCATCGTACTCGAGACTAAGGAAGCAGGTGTCCAAGATGTACTGCAATACTCGATCTGCAGCGCGATGATGCTTCTGAGAGGGATTCTGGTTAAACCTCGCCAGACGGCTTGCAGCAAAGGCGATATCGGGGCGCGTCATCACCGCCAAGTATAGGATCGATCTAATCTTTCGTTGGTATGCCGTTATTTCGCTCTTTGAGGCGTGCTCCTCGGCGGGCAGTAGCTCCTCGTTCGTCATAGGTGTCGTAAATCGAGTGTTCTTCCTCTGTGATCCTTTATGTGTGCCTTGACCAATCAACCGTGCGATCTTCTGTGCGTATGCTGCCTGAGATAGCCAGATTTTCTTCTTGGCTCGGTCGCGCGTGACCTCGATTCCTAGAAACCAGTGAAGAGGGTCTCCGCCTTCCAGGTGGTACTTCTCTTTGAGCCCGTTAATGAGGCGCTCAGCAGCGTTTCTACACTCAGGGGGAAACGCGAGAACACAGTCGTCGACATAGAAGAAGAAGAGCACGCGTCCCTTCCGCCAGCAGCAATTCTCGCCTGCGACGCGTTCCATCCCCATTGCTTTCAGACCGTTCTCTAGATGCCGTTGCCACAGTAGAGGGGACCTGCGAAGGCCGTATAGAGCCTTCTTCAGCCGCAGGACCTTCCCCTGCTGCTCATGGCCCGGTGGAAACTCCATATATACTGTCTCGTCGATCGGAGCGTGGACAAAGGCATTAACTGCGTCGTACTGCAGTAAGGTAAGATCTTGCTGGGCCGCGGTGGCAATAAGGGTTCGGAACGATTGTCCAGCGAGGGTCGCAGCGTATGTATCCTTGAAAGCGTTTTTAGCCTGTTGATCTCCTCGAACAACGATCCTTGCCTTGAGTTTCTGGAGTGCTCCCTTCTCGTCCGTTTTATAGACGTATACCCACCGGCAACCCAGGATCTGGTGCCCGGCGGCTTCTCTACGGTCCACGACGACGTATGTATCCATCTCATCGTAGCTCGCGAGGTGCTTCTCTTCCGCTTCTCGGAATCCCCTCTCGTAGGGGTGGCCGTATAGATCGGCATGTTTCTGAGGCACTGGGGGTAGTACGCCTGCTTGGCTTTTTCGCTGGGGCAGAGGACGGTCCTCTCCCGGAACGCTAGAGGC